AATTCAAGACATCTATTAATGTGTTGAAATTCGTGTTAGTGGGTTATAATCGTATCGTATCGATATGATTTTTTATTTTTAAATAGGTAAATCAAATTCGACCCATTCAATAATCATGTCAAAAACTCTCAATACGTACTAATCCAATCAGTTTATCGAAATGAGGCATTTAATATTTAATCAAATAATAAATATTAGAAAAAATTTGTCACAATTAACCTAAATATTCAAAATAAGAAGAAAAAACATAAGGTGTAGTCAAGGTTTATGCTGAAATGATTTAACTGTATATATTAATTGGGTTTAAACATGTAATATATTATATATGTCATATTAACTATTATAACACGTTGAGTTAAACGGGTTATATGGGTTAAACCCCTCAACTCACAGTTAAGTAAGTGGGTTAATGTTGTCAACTCGTTTATAACTTGAACCCATTTAAGGTAAATCCAAACCCGCTTATTTTGGGTCGCGTTCGAATCGTACTGACAGGTCGTGTTGTAATTTGCCACCACTACATCAATTGGGTGCTGTAAATATATATATATAATCTCGCAAACAAACAAAAACAAGTAGCACAAAATCAAATTAGACAATCCTTAGATGCTATAAGACGAATATTAAGAGGAATGCGGGCAAAAGCAACATCTTTAGATAGAGGACTTCTGAAAAGCACAGCAAGAGCATTAGCCACTTTATTGCCATGCCTATGGACATGTCTAAAACATGAAAAGTGCAGCAAGAACATTAGTCACCTTATAGCCACCTTATTGCCATGCCTATGGACATGGCTAAAACATAAAAAGCGCAGCAAGAACATTAGCCACCTTATTGCCATGTCTATGGACATGGCTAAAACATGATGAGGAAAAACTCCGAAGCGCCATATGAACATCATAGGCAATGGTCTGAATCGACAGTCAAAACAACCTTAACCACCATCAACGAATTTGACTCATTGTTCATTTTTGGAAGCCGTTTTGGGTTCTAATCCTTGCTGGGCCTGGCGGAGCATTTAGTCAACACAATCTCTTATTGCTGCCGGTTCGCGATGGATAGTGGAAAACCGACAATCTATTCATAGTTGGTCTGATTGGTGGATTCCAGGTCATTCTTTTCGGTTCCACGACCGGCAACTTCTGTGGTTCCTCAGTTTGTGGCTGAGTTGTTGGATGATTCTCATGGTCAGAATGTGACCTTGCTTCGCCATTTATTTCCGATTGCCACTGTTGATGCCATACTCAAATGCAGTTTAAGTTTGTTTTCCAAAGCGGATAGGTTGGCTTGGGACTTGGAATCCAATGGTATGTTCTCTGTGAAATCAGCCTATACCTTTGCTTACCGCCTTATGACTTGTGGGACGAGCTCTTTGGGTGCACATGATTCACCTTCTTCCTATACGTTTCCGTGGAATAGTATTTGGTCGTGTAAAATGCCGCCTAAGTTATAACATTTCTTGTGGAAGTGTAATAAGCTTACAGCTCTGGTTCGTGAGCCCTTGATTGTTCATCTGCCTGATGTTGTCATCGTGTGTCCATGTTGTGGTTCAGAGGCAGAAACTATTGAACATTTATTTTTTCAGTGTTTTCATTCAATTTAGGTTTGGAAGTTCTTTCCACTTTGATTTGATTTTATTATGGATCACTCGTTTTTTTTTAATGCTTGGTGGTTGAGTTTGGCTCGCCAACAAGGGACCAAAGGAAGGGGTCCGATGTGCTGAGGTTTGTACTACGATGGTAATCATATGACAAAACCTTGTTAGTAAATAAAAACTACTACTCCGTAAAACAGAATTCATCCTTCTCCGTTCAATTCACAAAAAGTCTTAATAAACTCCAGGTCCATCACAATCCACGTCAAATATATAGGAGAATATATATATATATATATAGCTATATATACACACATATAGAGTGAGAGAGACAGAGAGCGCACCAAAAAATAAAAATAAAAAAATAAAAAAGAAGCAAAAGAAAAGAAAAGGCAAAAGCATAAGAATCCAAAAGATGTTATCAATGAGAAAGCGAAGGATGAGGTGTTTGGTTTTGGTCCATAGACATGATATGGACCATATTGGAGGCTTAAGGGGGTGATTTTTTTGTTGCATTGATGAGAGGGCCACTAAAGTACCACAAAAGCTGTTCTGATTTGCTTTCTCTCACCAAATACTTCCAAATTTATTTCGGACTCCACATTATGCAAAAGTGGACAAAACCATTGAATCTAATTTCACCAAAATGAAGTTTTCTTTTCTAATTTCACCAAAAGATAACAAATTTTTTTTTTTAAGAAATATATATATATATATATTTTAAAACTAAAATTTTTTAATTTAAAAAGAAAATTTATAATATTAAACCAAACAGGACCATGGTTCGACGTATCGTCTGATATGCGACCTTTTTTTAAGTCCAATACGTGATTCGTATCGGCCAATTTACACTAATGCAACCGATACTGCGACCGTGACTCATACTGCGAACCATGAATAAAATAATAAAAAAACTCTATATAGTCTTCTAGTCATCACCCAGAACTTTTTTTTTTTTCTATTTTTTTTTTTTTTAAATTTAAATATCCAATTCATTACAATGCTTCGTCCAAAGCCTTATTATTGATTAATAACTAGGGGTGCAAACTGTTTAATTTGGTACGATTCTTGGCCAAAATTGAAATCGTTAGGACATGAAATCAGAACCGAACCGAACCAATTCCACGGTTCAGTTTTTTATTTTTTATTTTTTATTTTTATTTTTTTTTACTAAGACCTTAACCAAGGCAATACCTTAGGCCAAATTTATAGCCAAACAAGCCATCAATAGACACACACACACACACACACATATATATTCAGTAAATATAGGCATATATATTAGTACTTATATAATTAAAAAATAATATATATATATATATATATATATATAATTATTAGTACGGTTCCAAAGGTTCCAATTGATAATTATAAAAAAATAATAATTATATAATTATTAGTCTGGAACCGGAACCGAAACAGTTCCCAACGGTTCCAACCGAAATCGAAGCACTGATTCCGGTTCCACCTATTTTTTGTACAACATTTTTCCTAGCACGAAAACTCGATTTTTTTTATAATAATAATAATAATAATAATAATCCGCTGCCACTTGTAATATTCTTTCCTACAACAATAGCCAGCATTGATGTTCATGCTGTAGTTGGTAAAAACATTTTACCATTGACAAGGGCATCTCTCACTAGTCACTACTGTCAGTGGAAAATGTTTTACCTTTGTAAGTGGGGGCTATGAATATCGACTCTTACCACTCGCAGGAGCCATACCCCTCCACAAATGACACCATAGAAATCCATGCTTCCTCCACTATCGCCACCAGAAAACACCTATGCCCTCACCAATGAAGCAGAACCATGCATATCCTTTGGGGATAGTTTTGTCACACTACATATTAAATAATGTTTAAAATGTAACTTTATCTATTTGAAGGGTAATTTTGGCATTGAATTTTGAGTTGGAATGAAGAAATATATTATGTCTTGTTTATGTTGTGTAGTTTCTAAAATACTCCTGCACTTTATTAAAATATATAATAATAAAAAAAACATACTAATTGAGTTTCTTATCAAATACAATTAATTGAATTTCTTAATTATCTTTTTTTTTTCGGGTAAATTTCTTAATTATCTTATATTAATTTCTTGCATTACTTTTCCATGGCAGGCATTCCTCGAGCAAGAAATGAGGTCGTTTTAGATTGTATTAGAATAATTCCACAATAAACCCTATTATCACTTTAGGGTTTATAACTTACTAGTCGCCTCCCCCAAGCCCCACCTCATGGAACCCGCATAATTAGCTTAGAAGGCTGGGAGGGTTTATAACTTACTAGTCGCCTCCCCCAATCCCCACCTCATGGAACCCACATCATTAGCTAAGAAGGCTGGGGTTCTAGTAGACGCCGATTTAGTATTTTTAACGTCTTCGATTCAAATTTGAACACAAAGGTAGTGATTTCGAACATGACCAACTCCCCTAGTGTGATGAGCGGTGTGACCAGCAGCCACCACTCCCACCATTCGACTCAAACGGACATGCCAAATTTGTATATAGGATTTTTTATATTTTATATTTATACGAAGATATTACTTTTTAAAGCTTCTCTCAAATTTTAAAAAATCTAATATTTTTCTTTCAAAATTTATATTTTCCGATAGATTCTTGTTGTAACTGGAAAAAAATTGTTTGAGAAAAATTCATATTTTAATTGTGGAAATTGGTTGTGGCGTGGTGGAGTGGGGTGGGAACGAGTTTTTTGAATTTTTTATTTATTGAAATGGAGATGGGAAAAGAATAAAAATCCGAGAAAGAAATAGGATAGGAGAATTAAAACGAAAACATAAATAAGGATGATTAATTCCACACTACATGATTCTGAGAAACATAAAATATGTTAGACTAATAAGATACAAGTGACGAGAAATTTTAAATCCGTCTCAATGTTATTTTTATCTTACAAAAAGAAATTTTTTTTTGTGTCCATTGCACCGTACAATAAATACATACAACCATTCATTACCAACATTTATAATACACTTATAAAAGTATGTATTGCACAAACAATAAAAAATCTTGTAACGGACGGAAAAAAAATTTTGAATACTCCAAAAATATTTGGCTAATAAGGTACGAGTAGGGAGGAATTCCATTTCCGTTCCGTTGCCATTTCTATCCATAATTATTCAGCTTCATTCAGTGCACCCTTCCCACTTTAGTCACCTATCAAAGGAAAGCACTGTCTTCCTCAATCGCCACGTGCAAGTTGCACGTGACTTCACAATTTCAATGGCATTTAGTATTAATAATAAAATTTTAATCGTCAATAAAAAACAAAAAATAAAAATAATTAGTTCGAGTTGGTGGGTCCCAATTAAACCTAACAGTTTCTTCCGGCCTCTCTTTGTTCCCCTCTGTCTTTATCCCCGTTGTTGTTTAGCCATTGACCATACATTCTTGCTACCGTGCGCGCCTCCCCACCTCAATAGCTTATCCTTCACCACCTCGCTTTCTCTCTCCCGTCTCTTACCTCTCTGTTTCTTATGAAATTATCAGTGGGAGTAGTGATTCTAGAGAGAGAAAGTCAGGATCTGGGTTTTGTGTTTTGCTGTTCAGAAATGTGATTTGTAGTGAACTGGAAAGCTCTGAAGAGATCTGTGTTGGGCTTTTGAGTTTTGCGGTTGATTTTTCATCAACGGCCAGCCTCATGGCCGGTAATGAAGTTAAACTCAATGACTCCAAGGTATCTAATATATATATAAATATTTAATTATATGTATTTGTATGTATGTATGTACATATTTGCTGGTTGATGATCAAGTATGGTAATGTTAATTATGTTTCAATTCGTTGGTACTTCGAATTTCTGGTTTTTATTTTGTGATTTTGTGCTTTAATATTGATTTATTGACTTCTACTTTAGGTTTTGAATGGGTTCATTCGGGGTTTTGATTGATTATGAAGATCGAGCAAGTGTCTTTAATTGAATCGTTTTTTCTCTGGTTCGATTATTTTTTGGGTATTATCTACTGGATTTCCAAATTTGTTCTTCAGAAGTTTTAATCCTGCCAAATTATTTTGTTTGATAAGTAAATTTTACAAATTTCTCGTCTGGGTTTGGACTTTGGAGGTGTTTGGTTTGGGATTTTGCATATAATATAAAGTTTTTGAGATAGGGTAAAGGGTTTATTTGTATGGCTGATTTGTTTGCTTGCTGTTTTATATTATTGTTGAAGTGGCTCTTGCTTATCATTTGATTTCTTGAATTTCACTGTTTCTCTGTTAATTTATTCTTTACTATGCTAGAACACAATTACTGCAAATTTTGCTAATACAATTGTCTTTTGATTGAATTTGGGTACTTGATGCAGATGAAGAAGAATACTATCTGTGGTCGTGGTTATCATGACTTTGTAGCTTTGAATTGTACAAGGTCTTACTCTTAACCTCTGTTTTGTGTGTAGATGGTGGTTCCACTGAATACATGGGTTCTTATTTCCAATTTCAAGCTGACTTACAATCTTCTTCGTCGTCCGGATGGCAGCTTCAATCGTCATTTGGCAGAGTTCCTTGACCGGAAGGTCCCAGCTAATGCAAATCCAGTTGATGGAGTTTTCTCCTTTGATGTCATTATTGAACGCGGCACTGGCCTCCTCAGCCGAATTTATATGCCGGGTGATGCTGAAGAGGGTCAGCGGAGTATTGTTGAACTTACGAAGCCTATGAGCTCTGAAATTGTTCCTGTCATAATCTTTTTCCATGGTGGAAGCTTTGCACACTCATCTGCAAATAGTGCTATCTACGACACCCTTTGTCGGCGTCTAGTGGGCATTTGTAAGGCTGTTGTGGTATCAGTGAATTATCGGCGAGCACCTGAATACCGATTCCCTTCTGCCTATGACGATGGTTGGGAAGCTCTTCAGTGGGTTAGCTCAAGACCATGGCTTAAGAGTGGGAAAGACTCAAAAGTTCATATATATTTGGCCGGCGATAGCTCAGGTGGTAACATTACGCACAATGTTGCCTTACGAGCTGTAGAATCAGAAGACATTGAAGTATTGGGAAATATATTGCTGAATCCGATGTTCGGTGGGCAAAAGAGAACTGCATCAGAGAAGCGATTGGATGGGAAATATTTTGTCACCCTTCAAGACCGTGACTGGTACTGGCGAGCATATCTCCCTGAAGGAGAGGACAGGGACCATCCAGCCTGCAATCCATTTGGTCCCAATTGTATAAGCCTTGAAGGAAAGAAGTTCCCCAAGAGTCTTGTTGTGGTTGCTGGTTTGGACCTTGTTCAGGATTGGCAGTTGGCTTATGTTGAGGGGCTGAAGAGGGCTGGCCAAGAGGTGAAACTTCTACATTTTGAGCAGGCAACAGTCGGGTTCTACTTGTTGCCGAATAACAACCACTTCTATACTGTCATGGATGAGATAAGCAACTTTGTGAAACCGTAACTGTTAATAGACTTAACTTACTGACAGGCAGCAATGCATAAAGAAGCTTGACAAATCGCCTCGGATTTATTACTTTGGAAGGGCTTGTTTGCAGTTTATAAGAATATGTTAAATTGTTAATACTACTCCTTACTGTTTAGTTGATCATGGTGTTATTACTATTTGTGCTGCATTGCGTTGGTTCGTCTTGGATGAGAGACAGCTTGGCTTGGTTGTTGGTGCATAGCATGGTTCAGCATCTAGCTGGATTGGAAAGTCGTTGGCACTCGGGTATGTGGATTCTCGGTGCTTTGGTTTCCTGCACATTCTTCTGGGCTGTCAAAGCCATTTAAGTAAGTTTGATTGATATATCCAAGATCAAGTTACAATTTCTGACTTCTGGCCCCAAAGGATAGGAAGACAGGAATCTGGGGATATTATTATATGGCCAATCAATTTGGTAATTTTCCTCGCTAATGTCATATAGATAATCTTTGGGCATGGATGGAAAACCATCCATGCATGGTATTGTGAGCTTATATGATGTCTTTATACATGTGTTCTAGAATTGTATAAAGTTGTTTGCTTAGCTGCTGCTCAATTCTCTCTCTTGATTGCCTTTGATATTATCTCTATATGCTGCTGTTGATGCTTCAGTGTTGTTCTTCTGAGCTGGACCTTATTGAGCTTTGGCAACTTTATATGGAATTCTGAACCGATTTATTTTTCTTGGAAACACTTGAGCAAGGTTTAAAAATCTTTTCTAAGTTTTAGATGGATTATAATTGATGATGATGAACTTAATATGTTGATTGTTGCCTCATTTATTTAAAGCTGAAGCTTCCTATTTGAACTCTTCTTATAGTTCTTAGTGATATAAATTGAGAGATTGGGATTTCCTTTGGCTAACAACTCTTTGTTCAGACTTCAGACTTAGGATGTTTAGTTCTAATTACAGACTTTAGTCATAGGAAGCTGTTGTTTGCGCTCCAACAATCTTCTCTGGCGCTCCAACTCCTTTTATTGATAAAAGGATCATACCAGATTGCACTCTACTTTGTTTTTGCAACACGAACTGCCTTTTCCGTTCATTTGTTCTCTTTTGTGATCTGATCTCTCTCTGTCTTTTAAACCATGCGCATACATGTAATGAAACCACAAGAACACAACCATTGATTAACTCCACTCCTCAAAAATAATGCTTGGAACATTGAACCTATTGATTTTGGTTATCAGGAAATAAGATTTCATATCTAATAAGCGTTTCTGTGGAGGTGGGGTGGCTATGAAAATTCTATTTCTTCGACGTCTTTTCATTCTGTGTTGTATCCTAATATTTAATCCCATGAGCCAAGAAAATAATGGCAGCATCCTTGCCAAACCCCAAATTCACCCATTTCAATCCTCGTTTGTTCCATTAGCCACTAAAAAAATCAACACAAATATTGGTGGTTACGGCATGGCAATGTTTGAAGAACTATCGAGCTGCATGTCATTGCCGGAATATGCTCTAATTCTTCCACCTGCCTTTGCAGCAGCAAGCCTGCAACTTCGTTTCTTTCGGCTTGATCCAGAACTCTACAAAATTAAGTTAGAAGTTGTGTTGAGAGAGAGAGGGGCACTTTGGTCTTTTGACTGTATATGAGATGGAGCAACTCTGATTAGAGAGGGCACTTTGGTCTTTTGTCCCCATGGGAGATGAAGCCACTCTCGTTTTAGTTGATAAGTTACTAGATTTGTGTAAAAAGACCACAACCTTATCTCATAGAAAGTTACCTGTCTGGTTGAGTATGAGTGTATATCACCACAACAACTTGAGTTCTACATCACAAACTTTTAGTCTTTTTATGGCAATGGATCTAGAAATCAGGTTTCTTGATTTTAAAGTTGATACAAATAGCAAACTGTTTCTATTTTGACCTAAAGAAGAATAGTTGCAAGGAAGTATCATTGTTGCTGAATTTGTAATTCTGACAAGAAAAGGGTTAGCAATTCACATGCTAACTCCACCAATTTGTTGTACCAATGTTGTGACAACTATAGTGTCAAAGCTAACTTAAAAAGAAAGGTTTCCAAGTTCGGACCACACTGGTGTGGCCATCCTGGTTTCCTAAATCCAATGCCCTAAATAAGCCCTAGTTGACTTCCCAAAAAAGGGCATCAATAATCTTCACTATTGATTAGTGAAAAATTCAAAGAATCGCATTCTCGCATCTCATTCATCTAACGTGAACAGTCATATCTGTCAGTTCATCATTTTTTTTTGGAAAGATTCTGTCAGTTCATCATTCGTTAGATGAAATGAGTGCTACATAAGCCCAGTTAGCTTTTGATTTCCTAAATCCAATACCCTAAATAAACTTAGTTAACTTCCCAAAGAAGGGTATCAATAATCTTCGCTATTCATTAGTGAATAATTCTAAGAATTGCAATTCTAGCATCTCATTCATCCGACGCTTATTATTCATCTGTCGCTCATCATTTGTTGAATGAAATGAGTGTTACCACTTGACTCCTAGTTTTCTAAATCCAATACCCTAAATAATCCTAGTTAACTTTCCAAAGAAGGATATCAATAATCTTCACTGACTATTAGTGGAAAATTCGAAAAAAATTGTTATTGTCGGATCTCATCCAACATGAAAAATTCAAATAAGAATCATGCTACCGATAATTTTAGATATCGCTCAACATCTGTTGAATGGGATAAGTACTGCACCACTCAATGGCTCACAACGGGACTCGAGCTTATTCAAACAATACAGATATGCAAGATTTTGTGATTACTACTTTTTCATTCTTGTCAGTTCTTGGATGCCTTGGGTGATGGAACTGGTGAGAAGAGAATTCAAATATTGGCTTGCTTTGGAAGAGGACTACCCTATATGCAACACTGTCTGAAATTTGGATGGTTTTGAAGAGGACCCCACACATTGCTTTTGAGCTGGTGAGATAGGGTTTCATAATGATGATAGAATGGCATAAATTGGCAAGCAACAGCTAAGCTTTGGACAAAGACATACAACCTTCTGTTTATGTTGACTACTCAGGCCCCACTTAGATATAACATTACGAGCCTTTGTTTGATTCCTTCAAGTACAAAATTATTATTGTCCGTATTGTACGAAGGTTTATGATATTTGCATTATTGGGTACTGGGTATTATTTCTGCATCTCTTGCTTGCTTAGTCCTTGCTGTTTAAGATTGGTTAGATCAACCAAACTAGAGCAAACTCAGGTCTGGCCCAATCCGGAAAATTCGAGTTCGGATTCTAACTTGGTTAGATCAACCAAACTAGAGCAAACTCTAGTCGAGCTCAATCCTGAGAATTCAAGCTCGGCTTGTTAGAATCATCTAGGGTGTATTTGGTAGGGTTGATTTGGAGGGATAGGGAGAGAGAAAAAAAAGAAAAGATAAGGTGGGCGTGTGTTTGGGTGGGTTAAGTGGAGAGAAAAAGAGAGGATAGGGAGAGATATGAAAGAATAATTACAATCCGGTTTTTCTCCTAATTTGAGAAGATAGGAAGAAAAATGATAGCGGAGTAAGTGATTAATTAGTAATACCAAAAATACCCTCCACAAATTAATATACAGAAAAGTTATTCCATTTATGTCCTAATTTTGTTTTCAGCTATTATTTTTATTTTTTTCTTTTTTCTTTTTTCTTTTTCTTCTCTACTTTTGTTTTTATCATTGCATTGAACTATAGGAAAAAAACATTCCAAAATATTCTATGTGAGATTTTAGAAATGGATAATGTGTGAAGTGATTATGAAAGGGTAGGACAGTAATTTGGTCACTATCATTTGTTTTATTTTCTAACCTTTATCTTATTCAAATAAGAATAATTATCTTCTTTTTTTTTTTTTTTCTTTTTTTTTTTTTTTTTTTTTTTTCTCTCTTCTCCCCTACCTATTCAAACACCAATAGAAATTATTACTATCTTTTCTTTTCTTTGTCATAACTAATAGTATCCTTTCTTTTCTTTTCTCCCCCGTCTATCCAAACACATCCTTAATCAGTTTTGAGTTTAAGATTAGGTTTGGTAAAGAGAAAAAGTTCATTATAAATCCAAATAAGTTTGATCTCATAGTTCGTTAAAATGTTTGTGTGAATGCCTTTTCTTCCTATTTGCTTTTGCTTTTCTTAACGGGCAGATAAAATTTTTTTTAGGGTATTGCTATCAAGAGAGCCCTCTAATGACAAGAACATTGGGCTCTCCTTATTGACCTTTGAATTGAGATATTAATAGATTCATTTGACTTTTTGTAGATCTAAAAAAATTAAGCATGTTAAGATCAGCCAAACTCGAGCAAGCTCGAGTCAAGCCCAAACCTGAGGATTCGAGCTCGGCTTGTTAGACTCATTTAATCAAAGTTTGAATTTAAGATCATGTTTGGTAAAAAGAAAAAACTGCTCATAGATCCAAATAAGTTTGATTTCATAGCTGTTTATTAAAATTCGTGAGCCAATGCCTTTTTCCTTTCACTTTGCTTTTACTTTTTTTTACCTGTACAGGTAAAAGAACTTATAAATAAATTAAATAATGCTATCAAGAGAGTTATTCCGACAAGAAAACTGAACTCTATTTATTGACGGTTGGATTGAGAGATTTATTAAAAGAAATGATCTCAATCTAGTGATCAATAAATAAAGATTTCAACGCTCACGAAGGGGTTCTCTTGACAAAATTACTCAAACTTTTTTATTTATTTATTTCTGGAATTTCAAGCAAAACACAATACAGCCTTTCCACAAAGGTAAAGCAAATTCTGAAACTAAAATGTGTGATTGTACATGAACCAAGACGCAGAGAGTAAGAAGTAGGCCCTGGTGACAGAATGTGTTGTCTGCTTAGTAACTACTGTTGTGCTGACAGAATGTGTTCAATCAAACCTTGTCTGCTTGAGCCTCTGGCGCTATTGCCTGGGTCTCTCTGTTTATGTCATTGCAATTGGTATCATAGCCTAGTTTATGTTCTCATTTTGAGGCACCGAAAGGGTAAGCAATCCTTGGGGTAAAAAAAAAGAGAGAGGCCATGTCACAAGGTAATAATGTTTGGAATAATCATATCCATACAAATTACTGTACAATTCAACCCAATGAACCTTTTTATAATTTAAACTCTTTGAATAATGGAATCCAAAATGTGTGTGTGTGTGTGTGTTTTTTAACAGTAGGTTGGTTTACGCGACACATTTCTCAGGTCAAAATGACTACCACGTCATACTAATAGTAAAAAAAAAGCCAAAGACCTGTCATGTAAGTCCCAAAACCTCAAGAAATGTTTCTTCGAGTTCAAAATCTGAGGACACTCTCTCAGGTCAATCTAAATCTTGAGAGAGACCCCTTGAATCTAAATTCCCCGAACACTCTCACAGGTTACTTAAAATCTTGTTTTTAGGTTTATCAAAATTTCGAGAGACATATTTCAAGTCTAATACACTGAGCACTCTCACAAGTTAAAAACATTCTCTCTAAGTCTATCAAAATTTCGAGGGTACTTCTCGAGTTTGGAACACCCTCTCAGGTCACTCAAAACCCTTGGGACACTCCTAGGTCATTTAGAATCTTGTGACACTCTTGAGTCCCTAAGACCACTGGGCATGTCCAAACCCACCTCGAGGGAATTGACTACAAAGGAGGAAAAGAGGCTATTTACATTAAAGAGTTATGCTATATAGGCCCAACATTCTCGTCGAAATGCTTGACACATCAAACAATACTTCGACCATTGGCCAAGCATTTCTGTTGAACCCCTTATCATTTTTTCTTACAATTAAATGCTTAGCCTGCACTATCTAATGTTCAGCCCCTTTACGAAGGTGAATTTATTACATGGTTCTGGCTAATCACAACATGACACACAAGTAAAAATCTCCTTACAAAGAGGGACGATTTGATTAGATAGGCTTGCCAGAGTGTGGCTAAGGCAATATTGGCCTAACCCCTAAAGCCCAGGCCAATACCCTATGAAGGTTTAGGCCATTGACCAATAATAACCAGGTCCTCGAACTCTAAATAACATCCTCTTCATAGAATTTAGACAACTTGAATTACTACAACTACAACTATCAGACATACCAAACGTCACCTGTGCTCATGAAATGGCTCAACTCAGCCTTCTCCCATCATTATAATTTATTACCGACCCCATTAAATACCCCCACAACCACCAACATCCTTACCAGCTAAATTGACATCTCCAATAATTTCCAAGCTGAGGTGAGTTGTTTGCAATGAGCAACATTGTGATCCAAGGAAAATAGTTGGATATCGGTTCACACTCAACTTGTGTTGTCATGATAACTTTTTCTTGCTACTATTATTCTTTATCATTGGATGATTGGTTTAGTTCATGTCTTCTTGTACATTGTTGCAAGCACTTGCAATGCATTACACTTGTGCTTTTCTTTGAGCAGTGTATGTTCAAAGTAGCTGACTATGCAATCCCACCACGACAGGCCTAAGATGCCCAGAAATTAATCAGTTCTGTAACGAATTGTGATATTAAAGAATTTGAAACTTATGTAATTAACCTCGTTTGGTTACCCCGAAAAAATGGGATAGATCTAGTTAAAAATGGTAGATTAAAATGGGATACTAAAAGAATTGATTGCTGAGGAAACTCTCAAGTACGGTTATAGGGGAAGGAATTGACCTGCCTATTCCGACCAGGGAGAACAAGCCATTCGACAGAGAGAGATGTGCATTCATTCTAGCTCATATTCTTGCCACTAGAACTTCTTATAGTAACAATGCTTGCAGTTTTGGAAGTCTACAACTTCCACAGGGTTTAACATTTGAAGAATCCAGGCTCAACATTTGTCCAGGATTTCATTTCCATGGCGATATGATTCCCAAACCAGTCTGTTCTTTATCATGTCATAGTACTATAATTCTGTTTCAGTTCACACACACACACACACACACTACACACAGAATCATCTGATGGAACCAAAGCAATTGGTTTCGAACTACTATGGCAGTTTTCGATTAATGTTGCTTGCTACTGAAACATCCATTGGACCTTGAAAGCAATGTCAAACATCATGAATCCTAGCAAGTAAATATTGAATATCTCAACAAGAATGCTTAAAATTCTAATCCAATTTGGATCACCAGAACTTAGAACAGCCATCTAGTTTGAAAGGACTAATTGACTGGATGGCATGTAGATATGTTAAGGAAGTCAATAGAGCAAAGATAGCATCAAAATATTGCACACTAACAGATAATTATCGAAAGACAGTAGCATTTTATTTATAATGAAAACGCAATCAAAAACTTAGTGGAAGAACATGATCATTTCTGATTCTAGGAAACATTATGTTCTTACAAAAAAGAAAGTTAAGAAAGAACCAAGATATCATCATTTTTTTGGCCATCTGATTAAAAACTTGGATTAGTTAATCCTACAGTTCATACTTACTTCCCCTAAAAAAAGCACTTGGTGAAATAAACGAATTCACTCAGCGCCCACAAGCAACATATGCAACAGAAGCTGCAGCGAAGACCGTTGTTGCAGAGGACATCAATGTCCAGAAGCTCTTCTTCTTATGTGCTTCTGCTAGCAGGAACTCAAGCTGCCGCTTCATCTCCTCTGCCTTACTCTCCCTCTTCTTGAAAGAACTTTTTATCACGTCCAACTCTGCCACGTACTGCTTCATCTCTTCTCCGACCTTCTGTTCATCAATAAGCACACTGTCTTCCACAACACCCATTTCATCTTTAGATGGACAAACTTGTGAAGCTGTTTTCTTTAGCATGTTTAAGACAAGCTCTGAATTAGTATTCCCTAACTTCACTTTAGCCTGCATATCATCAAACTCTTTTCCGGTTTTTGAAAGTGTGCTCTCTAGTGAAGCCATTTCCTTCATCAACCTTGTGCAGCGGCTTTCCAACTCTTTCTTTTCCCCAATAACGCTGCAATTTTCAGTCTTCATCTCCCTAGCCACCCTGTGTGTTTCTTCGATTTTCTTCTCCATTTCCAAAATTTTATCCCTCAAGCTAATACAATTCCTGTTCTCCTCATCAAATCCTTTTCTAGCTTCATCCCTTTCGATTGTAACTAAATTCAGTGCTTCTCTATATTGACTAACTTCAGATTGAAATTGCCCAATCTTCTCTAGTTGATCATTGGATGACTCTTCTAGTGCTGATATGGCATCCTCAAGTTCACCAATCTCTTTCTGCATTTCGACAATTTCACTCTCTTTAAGAGCTTTCACCTCCTCAATCTCCATTTTCTCGCGTCTTATCTCCTCCACCTTTTGCGTCTGATCATCTAATTGCTTCAAAATCTCATCCAATTCTTTCCTGACAACACCCTTTTCCCCATTCAACCTCTCAAAGCTCCTCTCCATCTCCTTCTTTGCTTCCTCCAACACGTTAATCTCCATCACCATCCGGTTTTGCTTCTCCAAACCTTCAATACACCTCTTCTCCATTTCGGCAAAGCTCAATCTCAACCTCTCTTCCTCCTTCTGCCGACTGATTACCCTCTCCTTCAACGCGCTCACTTCCTCAATTTTCTTCTCCACTTCCACTTTCCTCTCCTCCTCAATTCCTTCCTTCTCTCTAACAATTTCTTCAATATCTCCCTTCAGCTTCCCAATTATCCTTTTCGAATCTGTTAAACATCTCTCAAAGGCATCCTTGTCCGCCATTATCATCTGGACCTTTCGTTCACTCTCTTCTTTTTCCTCCATCATGTTGGCATACTCTGTCCTCAGTTTGTGAACCTCTTCTTGAATCATCATCCCTCTTTTCTCCGACTCATTCAATTTCAGTTCAAAATCGGCTGTCGCCTCAGTTTGAAGACGAAGTTCATGACTCATTACAGCCCTTTCACGACGAACCTCATCAACATGTTCACTTAACTTTTTCTCCAAAATCTCTTTCTCGTACCTCACAGAATCGAGTATAGAGTCCAACCCATTTATCTCCCCAATTTGATCCTCAACTTCAGTTCTCAATGAATCCCTCTCTTGACCCAATTGTCTGGACACATTTCTCTCATTCTCAACCTCAGCAAGAAGCTGATCCAACTTCCTCTTCGAGTCAAACTCTTTCTCACTCTTCTCCCTCAGAACCTCTCTCATTACGCTCTCCATACTCTGCAATCTCTTCTCAGTCTCCGCCTTCTCTCTCCTTTCCTTCTCAATCACTTCCGATTGTTGATTGACCTGCACAGAAACAAACACAGAAACCAAGTTCCTCTCCAGTTCCATTTGTACCGTACGGTCATGGAACCGAGTCAACTCCGCCTGCAAGGCCTCCTTCTCTGTTTCGGACCGAGTTAGCTCCGATTCCAGAGACCCTTTTGACTGGAGGAGTGAGTCCATCTGTTGACGGTGCTCGACGGTCTCTTTGAGAAGCATGGAATTCAGGGACTTTAAGTGTTCGATCTTCTCTGACGCGTCGTCCATGGTGGTGGTTTGACGGGTCTGTTCTGGGTTCTGGGCCGGTTTGTCTTTCTGGGTCACCTTCTTTTTAGCCATGGAATTGTGGGTTTTTTTATTTTCGGCGCAGAGAATGAGATGTTAGATGGGTGGTTTAGGGTTTTTCTAGGGCTTTTAGTGGTGGAGAAATGGGATCTCGCAGCAGTGAGAAATGAGAATAGACTGATAGAGAGAGAAAATAGAAGAGAGAGAATGGATTTTCTATCGCGGAAAAAAATGAGATATTGCAGCAGCAGTTATGAAAGTAGAAGAGAGAGAAAGTAGAAGAGAGGGGGGTTATTAGGGTTTTAGTTGTGGAAAATGATTTTAAGTTGAATATCCAACGGTAGAGAGAGAATTTAGAGAGAGAAAGCGGGGGATGGATTAGGTTTTCAAATTCAAATGTTGTGCTCAATTTTCGAGGAAGTTTTTATGGGATGCTTTAGGCCACGTGGTAGCCCAAGTAGAGTTTGGGCTAGCAAGAAAAGGGCCCATATTTGGAAATATAGGTGACCTATGGGCCACGTCGTAGCCCAATTAGATGGTTTTGTTTGGGCTATTAAGGAAAGGACCATATTTAGAACCTATGGGCTACGTGGAAGCCCAATTAGGTGGTTTAGTTTGGGCTATTAAGAAAAGGACCATATTTAGAACCTATGGGCTACGTGGTAGCCCAATTAGGTGGTTTTGTTTGGGCTATTAAGAAAAGGACCATATTTAGAACCTATGGGCTACGTGGTAGCCCAATTAGGTGGTTTTGTTTGGGCTAGTAAGAAAAGGACCCATTTATGGATATGCCATGTAATTCATGATGAAGAAGTGAATACGACGACGTATTAGTGGGTTAAGCACTTAAGCCAGGGCTTGATCAAAATTGACTCTGACCATAAATTTTTTTCCTTTGAACTTATTTTGTGAGAAATTTTATTTAGTTGGAAATGGGACATTATATATATATATATATATATATATATATATATATATATATAAACACACACACACACACACGCACTCCGTATGTACTATGATATACGTTTGTATATTTGTTGACATGTAATGGCGTCTCTATTTGAACGGCTGGTTTTGCTATTAAGTAGCATTTCAGGTGAAATGTTTGGTTGTCAAGTGTATAAACAAATGTAACTAATTAAGTTTCGAAGCATCGAATCGATGTCTTGAAATCCAATCGATGGTTTTGCAATTAGAAAGTTATGATCCTGGATAGTTAGAATGGTGAAGTATATATCTGTTCCTATGTTAATAGCTGACCTAATTAAGTTTTAGGCTATAGTTGGTTTGTCCAATTCACCTCTATTTAAATACAGAGCAAAAACATTTTTATAATTTAATGATAATGATTTTTAAAGTCGAAGAGTTTGATTGAAATAGAGTGTCGAAATTTTTTCATCCCTCTGACACACTCAATTAAGAGTGAAGTGAGATCCAATTAAGTGTATTCTGAAAGTCTTTGTCTTTCCATTTCGTTCAAACTCTCCGGCTTGAATATCATTATTCATAATTTAATGCTTCACTGCTTGCCCTATATTTCTATCACAATCAGTTCTTGAAGTCTACTAATCCACCGAAAATATCAGTGTTATTATTCTTGTCTTAATCCCATATCAATGGAATCGAGTCTACTACAAATATATGGATGCAGAATTTGATATTGAACGGACCACCTACTAATTGGAAAAAGCGAATCCTTTGGAAAAAAAATTTAGTAAGCAAATTAAGCTGTAATAAAAAGAGAATATTATCTATATATATATATACAGGTTCATCAAATATTTCTATTGATAGTTTACCCTTTATCTAAAAAAAATATATATATTTCAATTGATCAATATATGGTGACACTTAGCACAGACACTACAAACACATGTAAAAAAGTGGAATGTTATGATATGAGTTATGGTAACAGAAAATATAAAATACCATGCAATATAATTTATCATGTCATGTTTTGATATTTTGTGCCAAGTTTACATAGAAAAACATAAATGATTTTTCGGATAACATAAAATGGATTTGTAAGTTACGAATTATTTTTTACTTTGGCTGCAAGGCCAGTCTAACCATCCAAGACTAGAACTGGACATTAATTACACTCATCCCGCTAGGGATTCAATGGAGACTGCAGAAGAGTTGATACCATAAGCTTGGCAACAACGAAAAAACTTGTAGCTCACAATGAGCTACAAGGTCTTTTGGTTGGTTTTGTTTGTCCCACTTGTATGTAGTAACTGTTATGTGTTTGCTTGGTTTAGTCTTTAGTGCTTGCCTTGGAGCTTGTTCCTGGGCTTGGTTCAATTGACACTATTGTTCATATTTTCTCTTTATTAAAGTTTACCCTTTTAACCTAAAAAAAAAATAACGAAAAAACTTTGATGTTTCGGGAATACCAATAACATGGTTTCATCTATGTGATAAGATATTATTGGCTGATAACACGATAACAAGTTTTGATATTTTAAGAATACTGATAACATGGTATCACATTTTTTTACTTATGTAACAAAATATTATTGGTTGATAACAAATAACATGGATACTTCCGGCGCAAGAAAGAATTTTTAGGGGAATCACAGGAATCTAACTATCGTATTTAGGAAAACTAGGGTTTTCTTTCTCCTTTTTTATTTTTATTTTTTTCTTCTTTCTATGCCCTAAAATTTTGTTCTCATCAAGTACCGAGATGGTGATTTAAAAGCAGTGTTTATAACCATCATTAATTTTGGTGGATTCCATCATAATGAACCCTCATAATAGAAATTAGGGTGGACATGCATGTATAATTTCTTCATCATTGCTATACCATAATTATGTATGAAACCTAAATGTGGACGTTTCTATCAAATGGCCGGTGATATGATTAATGAGAAGTCACCTCATTTTTCATGATATCAGTTGTGATGAATCATCATGTAAATATATATATATATATTCTTTTGTTTATATATAATGTCAACACAAGATTGAATTAAAATTATATTGTCAATATGTACGTATAAGCACATATTGGTTACCTATGCTACATTGTTTACCATTGTGTTTCTCAATCCAGGTTTTTCAGCCAAATACTTAATTTTGAAGTCTCTTCATGCTCTTAAACCTGCATAATTAGCCATTGCCATTGTTCAAATGAATATTTCATACTAGTTCTGTTGCTGCAAAATAATCGCAGCTCTAAAGTATTGACCAAAAATAATAATAATAATAATAAATAAAATTTATCACCATGAAAAGTGAAAACAAAACAGAATTTTTTTGATGTAAATGTAGTGTTATATGGTTAAACTCTATTCCAAACACTGTAAAACCTCTTCTTTTTTCTTTTTCTTTTTTTTTTTTTCTTTTTTTTTTTTTTTTTTTTAATTTGGAAAGTCAAACAAGTGTAAGCTTCCTTCTTTTTCTTTTTTTCTTTTATAAAAGAAGGTTGGAATATTTTAATTTAAGAGTAGTGATGTTTGCACAAATTTGTTACAGTAAATTACCTAATTAAAAGTTTCTGATTTAAATAGGGACAATTCACTGCAATAAAATCGGTGCAAGAATTATTTTCCTTAATTTAATTGATTAGTTTAGTTCAACTTTTACAAATTTTTCCACTAAATTTCAAATATTTCCTACTTTTTTAATGATAACATTGCTAGATTATTCTGCAAAATTATCCCTTTTAACTCAGTTGGATTTCCATAAACCTAACTTTTTCACTGAGTCATAATTAGATATAAAATTCTAGAAACATGTAATATATATATATATAATATAAGTACACTCAGGTCAATCTGATCTCAACGAATCAAATCATTAATGTAATCCACCAAGCAGAAACTCCTATATATGACTTTAAAATTAGATGTCATCACCTTTATTTATTTATTTTTCCTCATTAAACTATCTTCCACTGATTTCTCTCTTTAGCTTTCACTTCAATTCCAACCCACATTAATTTGAATCCTTAACCAGTTTGTGAATTACATAATGCCATTTGTAATAGCTAGTACAATATATACAATCAAAACCAAGTCATTTTTTTAATGATTTGAGTTTAAAATTGCACCATTCATAAGTTAAAGCAAATCATCAAATTAACTATATATATAAAGATTCCTTTCTACTGAAGAAAATTAAACAAAAATTAAAATGGTTGGTCATAGTGTTTGGATCTCTCAAAGTTGTAAAAAATAATAAAGAAAGTGAGCTATACACACACACACTAACACATCTTTAGCATTACTCTAATAAACTTTTGGTCATATTTGCACATTACCAGCAGACCAGGAGACATCCCACCCCAACCCATAACAGTTGACCTTCACAAAACTCATGTGTGTTCAATGAATGTAGTAGATGCTAAGTTTAAAAAATTGCCCACTTCCATGAATGATCTGATTAATAAATATTAGGGTTTCTTCACCATTTTCCAATACCTGAATGCTTTGTTAACAATATGTGCATGCCCCCTAAAAGTAAAAATTTTCTAACACGATGATGAGTTCTTTCTTAATTGTTAATGGCCGGTGCCTGCAAATCCGATTTGCCAATATATAAATACATATGTAATGTGTGTGTATATATAATATAATATCGGCCATCCAAGATTTGAAGGTTCGTACTGATCTGTGTGTGTAAGTGGTCATTGTTAATATATCGAGGATGTAAGGAGAGGCGGACAACCTAAAATATAATATTATTTGTTGAAAGTGGACGCACTCAGACTTAAACTTGTTTTCTCACGTTTGATAGTTCGAACTTTTACCATTGCACCAAGCAATAATCGCCTTTCTATTCATGTATTAAAACGGTGAATATTGAAGGATCTGAAGGTTGATAGCAAGGTTTATGTTGGTGATTTCTCTACACTGCTGTTGCAACTGTTCTAGGAAGGAATCCAAGGAAGAAAAGAAAAATAAGAAATGAACTATATATATCACTTTTTCTTTCCTTGTATGTTTGAAAAAACAAAGACCGAAACCACCAAGATTGTATCTCTTCTACTTTCTAAGCTGAAGGTTTGAAAGGTTGAGGTTCAAAGTCTTTGGAAATTTTTTTTTTTGAAAAGACACATTCAAATCGAGTAGTCACTTCTGCACGAGATAATGCCAAAGGCTGGAAAAAGAAATGGAAACTAAGTCTAACTAATATATATATATTGTCATACCATCTTTTTAGCAAACAATAGAACTATTGCTGTCCAATCATATATATGTTAGATAAGGTTCCTTCAAATCATCTTTGCATAAAGCAGCTTTCATAGACAAACTAATTTAATCAGAAATCCTTTGTCAGAGGTCCTTGATTTGAACCATAGAGTGAGAAGGCAAAAGTTTCACAAATTTATTTTCCAAAATAGAAAACACAAATTCATGCCTCAAGCTGCAAGCACAAAACCTTTTCTTTCAATTTCTTTTTTCTTATCATTTTTTTGCATTTCGAATTCCAATACCACATCCAAAGAAAAATTGGAAAAGTTAAAAAATATAGAAATTTTAATCACAATATAGTCAAATATGTTGGTAAGGGTTCTATATTACATTCATTATGTTGGACCAATAGAAAGATCTACCGGTGGAATGTTAAATCTCAAATTTTTAATTCATCGTGTCCGAGGTGGACGTGGAAATTTACCGTACTTCATCTTCTTTTTTTTTTTCTCAAAATACCCTTCTATTATTGTTATGAATTTCTTTCTACCTTCTGCGCACCTAAACCAGCCCCTTCTGAATGTGTTCATCAGAAATGGCTTTTAATTTTTTTTTTTAAATAATAATAAATTTCTATGATATATTTAAAAGAGGGTGTGCCCATTAGAGATATCCCTACCTACTTCAAGCACACACATGACATGTAAAAGAAAGAAAGAAAATTGCAGCTTGAGTGATAATGAGAGATAATATGAAAAGAAAGGTTTTATTCACATTGTCCATCACTGCTCATACATTTGATATATAATACAACCTCAAGCTCAAAACATCATAAAACCCTTTAGTAATGTGGATTCTCAACTTAAAATTAAAGAAAGAAAGACGGAGAAAAAACTTCTCTACAATTTGATACACATTTCTCTCTCTTGTTTTTTCTGCAGATGATGACTTTAATTGCTTCCTCTCATCACATAGGAATTGACCCGCCAGCGGCCAAAATTTGTTGCTCAAGCTACAACAAAACAAGTCATGAAATTGGAAAAGCTTTGAGACATAGAAACCAATCAATTTGGTCCCAAAAAAAAAAAAAAAAAAAAAAACCCCTTAAAGAATGCTCACCTTGAACATAGTCTCAAGCTTGTTCCTTACAAGAGAATACTCATTCTTTACTTGTTGGAGACATTTTAGGCACCTGCATAAATCCTTATAATTCCCATTAAGCATGTAAAAATTTCCCATAACAATGATTCTGAGTTTCCAATTGACTTATTGCTCCATTTGTTTGCTGAAAAAGTCAATTAAATGAAGAAAGAAAGAGAGAAAAACTTGATTTTTTTATTATAAAAAGTTCGAGGTTGGAGTGGCTTTTGAAGGTTCATAAATTTTGGGGTTGTGAGGAACTCACCCTTCAACATTTTGTTCCTCGCAATAGTTGCGAAAAGAAATGCAAACTCTTTGAACTCTCTGTGCACCAATGCTGAAATGAGAAAAAAACAAAAAAGAAAAGAAAAGAAAAGAAAAAATGGCAAAGACTAATGTAAGAAATATGAAAATCAAAACATATCTAGAGGTTGACATGCTTCTCTACTTGCATAGGAATCATATTGGAAACATATTTAAATGGTTCACCAAAAGTATTGTGAATTGAGCATATTATGAAAAGTTCTATTAATTGATTGATGAAACAGTAAAAGAAAGGTTAAAATAAACCGTTTGTAACGAAGTTTTGATCTGTGAAATAATTTTCATGGAAACAAAATAGGATGGTGTTGTCTCATCAAATCTTGACTAGCAGATTAAAATCTTTAAGACTAGATTCATAATTTTAAACTTCTCTAAGGCAACTGCATCATTTAAGGGTGGTTTCATACTCAGATTTACATGCTAAACATAATCAAGAAAAAATATATATCATTGATTCTCCATTTATTGGATTGGAAATCATTTGCTTGACCAAAAAAAGCAAACAAAACAATGGCTTCAAGGCTTCAACTAACCACACCCCATGGTGACAAATGTGCTTCTCTCACCTGGGAATAATATAAAAAAAAAAAACAATTTCCACCCTTTTGAGGCCCATACATGAACACAAAAGTTGATATAGATTGACATAAAAGAATACAATTTTTGGTCCTAGCATTGTAAAGGAGAGATAATTAGCTGTAAATGAGTCTTCAAGCTATAAGAGAAAACTTTCAATTACCTGGAGCTGCTACCCTTGAACTGGTGAACATGAGCATCCACCTTTTTGAAATCTACACTCTGCTGATCCCTATACAAAGAGAAGAGAAAAGAAAAGAAAAGAAAAAAAAAAAATCATATTTTCTTTATTTATAGAAGAACACACAAAAAAAACCATTAAAAACTGTATGTATATATAAGTGTTTTTTATTTTGGGAAAAAAATAAATAAAATAAATTTAAGGGGTTGAGTTCTCACAGTGCTTTTGTTAGTTCATTGAGAAGCCTCTCAGAATCTTCAAAGAAGAGAGACACCACTTCAACCACAAAGTCTGGGTTGCTCTCATCTTGCAGCTGTTGAAGTTGGATGAACTGATCATCCAGAAATCCCTTCTCACACACACAAAAAAAGTAAACATCAAAATCCAAAACTATCCCCAAACAGAGAATTAAATTAAAAGCTTAGTGAAACTAGCACATAAAACCTTATAGTTTACTATGAATAGTAGGAAAATACTGACCTCTTTATACAAGGAAGCTCTGTAGTCAACAAACTGTCTTTGCAACTGAACCACAACATCCATTTTAACTCTCTCAAAATCTAAACTTGTTCACCAACTTTCAGATCTTTATAGTTTCAGTTCATAGTAGGAAGAGCATGTTCATTTTTTTTTCTTTATTGGAAAAGCTCAACACTAAGAAACAGATGTAATGAATTCAGTGGACTATGGATATACAGTATATATAGCCACCCCTTTTTCACCTCTCTGGATATGTGTTTGTTTTGTCCCTTTGCTTCCTCTCACAGTCTTAAACCATCATGTGTGAGCAGTTAAAACTCTTTCGACTTTGAAAGCTGTCACAAGATCCAAAATTTAATGCCATGTACCATTTACCTTCCCATCTTCTTCTCTCAGTAATTATTGCTCCTTATTCTCCCCCTCCCTCTCTCTCTCTCTCTCTCTCACACACACACACACGGTCAATGAAACTCACCATAAACTTTTTGTCAGTATTTTTTACACGCAAGTGTGACAAATTTCATAGATTAACAAGTACAAACCTCTGTTAGGGTGGTTTAGCTTGCCTCCAGTTGAAAAATAGAACTGTCCTACGTGTAACAATGTTAATTAACAAGAAACGATAAATTTTTATATGATCTGGCCAATCACATGTAACCATCATGTATGCAATTGTGTCAACTGTAATTCTACTTATTGGTAGGACCATGCAATAATTTCTTAACAAAAAACTAATATAATGCATTTTCATATTTGGTGAACATACCAATAACATGGTATGCTGGGTGCACCCAACCCTGGTCTCTCTCTCACATACATATTATATGCATTTATGAATTTATATATATTTTATTATACACAAGGTGCTAACCTGTCTGTGGGGGCATGAGCATGACATTTCAATGCATGCTATACTTACAGTGGGATGATGTAGAAGTGAGTCAAGACCATGTTACATCTATATCTCTGAGATTTTTTAGGTACACTATATCTGCATGTTTGAAACAAAATGTAAAAGTGATGCTATGAAAGTGAAAACTTAATTTCCTTTTTTCCTTTTCTTGCTTTTTTTTAATCTAGCTGTGTCATAAAATACTGGATTTGCAGCTGTGCAAAGAACATATAAATTCTCTCTATCTTGCCTACTTTTTTTCCTTTCCCTTTGCCCTTTTCCCCTTATCTCTTCACTTTTCACATCCATGCTTTTTAATCTTCTGTAATTCTTTAATCAATTTGGTGCTATTCTTGTTTTTCTTGTTGTTTGTGGTGCTGTTGTTGTGTGGTTGGTTGGTAGATTGATTATTTGATGGGTTTTAAGCAACTCAAAAGGGACATTTCACAATAAAAGCACATGCCCCCACAAGCCTTAGATTTTGGCTTTACACTTCCATAAATAATGTGCAAGCTAGGTTAATAATCTTCAATTTCTTCACTTTTGTTTTATTGTGTGATTTTAAAAATGCTGTATCTCACATGGGTTGAAAAGAATTTGGTAAAAAAATTAATGTTACGTCTTTATCAACCAAAAATAAAAAAAGAACAAAATTAGGGTTTTTTTGTTCTTTTGGGTATTGGTGTCGCGCACACGTGTCCGATTCTGAGGCACCATGTAGGGGGCATGTATGCTTTTTAAGGTTGAAATTGCATTCTGATGAGAAATGATGTTTAGTATGTTGTTGAATATATTGTGGAAATGTTTGGTTTGATAATGAGTTCCATTTGAAATCCTGCTGCTGAAGCACTATGAGAAAAAGTGAAAGCTGGTGCTGGTACTTGGAAGCATTAACTGAAGTGACTTCATTTAATCCAGTCCACCCCAACCTGGAATACAAGAATTCCAGTAAGATATCTGATACCTTGAAAGCACTATCTGAAGTGACTTCAATTAATCAAGTACTCCCCCAACTTGGACTAACAAGAATTCCATTAGGATATAACCAGAAGTTGATTGATTGATTGATTTTATTTTTATTTTTATTTTTATTTTTATTTTTTTGATAGTGGTTGAAATTTTGAATGGGTAATCAATGGACATTGAACTTTCTCTTGAAAGGGGAGGTTGAGTACAGTGTTGACTGCCTTGGCACAAAAGTGGTTTGAAAGGGTTTCATCTTTCAGCATTCTTTTTTCCATCTCTTGAAATTTTGAATGGGTAATCAATGGACATTGAACTTTCTCTTGAAAGGGGAGGTTGAGTACAGTGTTGACTGCCTTGGCACAAAAGTGGTTTGAAAGGGTTTCATCTTTCAGCATTCTTTTTTCCATCTCATCAGCCATCAATTGTGGCATTCTTCTGTTCTGTCAAGCAATTTTGTTTGGACCATTAGGCCTGGATTGTAAAAAGTTTTGATGACTAACCCTATTGTGTAACCATTTGCTGGAGCTGCCAACTCCAAACCAACCAATAATAGTTGGAGTCATTTCATTGCATATTCAAGCACACAAATCGGGTCGGGCAAGGACTAGAACCCTAAATATATGGGATAATTACACTTACCTCTACTGTATATTATTTTAATAGTAGGTGTCTCCTCTCTAGTTTCAAACATAACTTTGACTTCCATGGTTCATGTTTGAGTAGCATTAACCTCCCGTCATAAATAAAAAATTATTTAAATCTCGAGAATGTCCTAAGAAAGTTTGAAAATGCTATTTCTCTTTATGTTAAACTAATAAAAGTACAATGAGTATAATAGTCATTTAACACGTTCGGGTCAAAGTTAACATTGACAAAAAAGTAAGTGTTATTTTTGAAACTAGAGCAGAAGTCCTTATTATTTAGGCAATCTATCAGGGAGGTAAGTATAATTGTTCTTATAGGTATATTTATATATAAAAAGCTAGATTGTACTAGGACTCCTTGTGAGGCCATATTTTAGTAAAAACCCATATGACCTAATGCTAAAAACTTGGATGTATTTGGTCTAAGATTGCGAATTCGAGTTTGAGAGCAGTCTCTGCATATAATATAGTGTCAAAAGTAAGGTGAATTTTCAGTTTTACTCTCTCAATGTGTGTAGCCCGTAATATACACTAAATAGACCTTGTGATAAAATTGCTTCAGTATGACTTAAAAGGCCACGAGTTCAAAATAAAAAATATCTTTATACAAAAATTAGGTTGCGTACAATTGACCCTTTCCAAATTTCTCAATTACAAAAGCTTAGTGAACTCTGTTAGCCTACATTTCATTTTATATTTATATATATCTTTTCTAACATAAAATTTATACGTTCTTTTAAAAAGATTTGAACTCTCTGCCTTCAACTAGTTGAAGGCTGAGAATATATTTCATGATTACAACATTCATGATTACAACAAATTACAACCTGAGTGATTTCCTTTGCCATTTCAATACAATCAATGAGACAACTTGAAAAGAAGTTAAGGACAAGGCCGGACCCTTATGATGCTATGTTTCACTACTAATGGGGTTGGTACTATTTAACCATATTATTTAGAATACGTGGCAGTACTATTAGGTTTTGTAGTAGTACTATTTTGCCTTTTTCTTCAAGGGCACATATATATTTTTTTTACTGTGAACCCTTGGAATTTCATTAATGCAGAGTATCTCAGTGGCCTCATAAATGTTTGAATAGGGACCACTACTGTGTAGGGCATGGGTGATCTCTTCACCTTGATATGAAAGGCATCAAAGTGGGACCCACCCTAAGAAGAAACAGGGGAATTCTTGCCATAAACTCAGTTGCCATGCCAAGCCAAAAGAATACAGAAGTGTAGGATGGTGTAGGTATCCTAAGTACTGAAAGAAGAGAACATAGCCAAGAATCATGGGTTTTTGGGTGGATGTGAATATGATGTTCCTTTTTATATAAATTAAAAGGAATTTATATGTGAATATGATATTCACTGTTGTGTAAGGAATTTACACACGAATTAAATCACCGTTAGATATAAAAACATAAATTATTTTTTTAACTGTCAAATAGAATCTAACAGTTACTATTTCAAGTGTACATGCAATTTTTTTGCACACAGGAAGCAAGAGAACAATTCTGTATATATATATATATATATATATGATGGTCCAAATGTCTAACAATAATGCACTTCACCAAGTCACTGAACTGGGTAAAATTCATTTGCAGTATTGTATGTAGGTATCCAAAGCAAACAATGAATAGTGATTACACTTGGGTGAATGTTCCTAGAACACATGAAAATTTGTACATCACACTTTTGCCAATTCAATGCCCACAGAAATGTCCTCTTCCCATTTGGAGGACATTTCATTGCCCCCTCTTTCTCACACAGTTGGATGGAAGATTCATTGCTCATGTAAATGTGTGCTTACATGTGTGGACATTTTAAAGTTTTGTGTAAAGAGATTTGTCAGTTTTTTTTTCAGGTTCCACAATTTACTCTCATTTTACCTTTTGGGGGAAAAAAATTTTACTTTTATTTTTCTCAAAAGTTGTGTAACATCTTACACCTAATTAAGCAATTATATATACTTTTAGTTTTAAAACTTCAGCAACAATTTCACCGTTTTAGGATTACAACTTTAGCAAGTAAACTATTAGGCTCTACCCCACATGATATATGAGTTTTCCCCTCTTTTTGACGTTGAGTTTTCGCGTTCGGTGGGGGACAAAAATATATAACGGGTTATTAAGTGTGTGAACAAATTAAGTTTAGATGGTATTTACAGAAAATGTGAGGAGTTTGAATCCCGTAATTGACATTTGTGGAGGTGGTAAAGGAAATTAGCTGAGAGTAACCCAATGGTAAGCCTCTCGCTTCCTATCTTGGAGGTTTAGAGGTTAACCACTTCTATTAAATATTTCGATAATTAGATAGGAAGTTCAGAGTTTAACCACTTCTATTAAATATTTTCATATTTTTTCATGCAGATGCCATGAAAAGAGAATAAAAAAATAATAATAATTAATTAATTAGTTAAAAAGAAAACTTTAAATTACCTTTCACCAGGTTCATTGAACATTCAATTCAAACCTTTTTCAAGTTCTAACTTATTGGGTGTCTTCAATAAAGAAATCACTACTTCAGGCATATGTTTACAGAGAGAGTAGACACAGTTGATTTCAGCCACTCAGAAGTCAGATCACATGGTACATGCAAGCATTATAGTAATAGTGACGTTTTTTTTAGAAAAATAAATAAATGGAAGAAAATAAAAATATATATTTCAGATAGGCCACGACTTGTTTTTGTAGTTCCTGCATTTATTAGACCTTGTTTCCTTCATTATTGGAGCAATGTATTTGCCTGTTTTAGAAAAACAGTATGAATTAGAACTGAGTAATACCATTCAAGCTGACAAAGCAATAAAAGTGACAAATAGACTGCATGATGACATCTCATCAATCTCTAATAAGTTGGCGAAATTTCAATTATATATATATATATATGTATATATACACGTATTTGTCCAGACAAAAGAATGCACATAACAGCAGAACCTGATCAAGACTAAAGAATGCACATAACAGCATAATGAGCTCTTTTTTCATTTTCATCTTTATTTTCATTTTTCTTTTGAATAACAAATAATGTTGCACAAACATAGAAAGAACCTGTCCACACAAATCACTTTTATCATGAATTTTAATGTACAACATATATACATGAGAATTAGGATGGAAGAAACCAGGGCAGGCTTGCGCTGGCAACACCGGGATGTACAAGGAATGGGTGTCGTATCTCCCCCATCAATTAGTCAGTGGCTTTCCGCGCTATCTACAAGTAATAAAATCCATACCCTTCATTTAGCTGACCTCTGATCGGAACCTTTCTACAAGATTAGAGTGCAAATTGTGATGCGGAAATGAGGCTCGCACGACATGGTACGAGAGGTACAAATCAACCTGCAAGAGGGAGAAAATGCAAAGTGCAATTGGGTTATATCATAAATGAATAGAGAAGGGTGTTTAATCTCATATATGAAGCTTCAGGCTTAGCTGTTCAATTTGCAACTTATATCAATTTAAATGATCTCAAAAGAGTTCTGCGAGCTCTTGAGAAATAAACAAACTATACTTCACTTACGTTCTCTTGATTGAATCATGTGACTGTTGACAATCATTTAAAATTTTGAGAAATCAAGAATAGTTATCACACTTTTCAGTCTCAAGTTCGCCAGATTAACGCCAATTGTTAACATATATACAAGGCCCCACCTAATTCGAGTCTTTGTTTGGTACGTCTCATACTCCAGTAAAGACTAGGTGTGATGATTGGTTCACATGTCTCTTGCAGTTTTGAGGCCCAAGGATCAAAAAGGTCCACATTTTTTTATGCCTAAATAGATCTCAAGCTTTGACTCAAGGCGTGAGCATTATATGCATCTTAAAATAGTGATAAAAAATCAGATTCAACAGAAATGAGGATGACACACAAATACAATTTTCCAACTAAAGATAATCAAACTATGTAAATTCCATCAGATTTCTTACCTTCTTCAGAGAAGGAAAATACACCCCCAAGCATGTCATCGTTGTCCCCATCTTCATCAGATTTCTCCTTGTTGCAAGGACTACTTCTGCAGTCAACATCAGGAACTTCGGTTGATTCACAGCAATCATCATGAATTGATGCTTTACAGTACCCCTCTTGAAAATACTGCCCAAAGTATAGTGGGTCATGCAATTCTTCATGCAGTGGCCCCTCATCAAGAATGTTCATACTCAAATCAGAACGGTTAGAACTCGTATTTGAACCTTCACTGGTCACAACACTATTTGAAGATTGAACTTCTCTGGCAATAGTTCTTTCAGTAGAAAGTGAGCCCCTTTTCGGAGAAGATGGACTATTTACAATGTAACTTTCTTCACCAGAAGAAGTGACAGTTGGATATAGTTCACGAGAAATTACAGGATAACCACTGTTAAACGAGCTTTGCTTCAGTGGGGATGATGCTAAATTAACATTCCCACACGTTACCCTATCACTCCCATTTGCAGTTGGGAAATTAAGAGGATAGGACTTCCCCGCATCAATTTGATCCAAGTCATGCAAAGGTGCAGTAGTTCTTGATGACCCTGATGGAAATGCCAATAATATGATTGAAAACCATCTTTTAATAAAATTATCAAGCAAGGTGAATGTCAGAACCAAATGAATGTCTTACCGACAGCAGGATTATCAACTGAGCCTGGTGAGTCCAGCTTAGAGTTAGAAACCATAGTATCTTCTGGAAACTTCTCTTTACCATTACTGTAACTAGAAGATGAAGTTGAATATCCCCCCTCAACAACACCACCATGAGAATAGGAAGATGTAGCTGAATATCTCTCCCCCACAGAACCCCTGCAGAGAAACGCAGAGAAGTCATTAGGTAGATATATCAACAAGCATACCCCTAATTGTCATGTTTCTTCAATTAATTTAATGAGGGAATCCTTTAACAGCAAAAACTCTTCTTCTTGAGATGTCATCATCACCTTGAGATAGTATCTTCCATAAAAATCTCTAAACAACTAGGACTTATTTTTTGTATTTAGTACTTTACCCTACTCTAAGCATAGCCATGGCAGGAGAAGATTCAACCTCTTCAATCTCTTATCAGGGGAAAACAGGAGATGGTTTATAGTATTGCATTATAAAAGCACTTGAGAAATCTCAGATCACATTTGGATAATTCACTCCATTGTCTCCCCCATATCATTTAAAGGCACAAGTCGATTCTTCGAACGGAGATCAAAGACTCGCAACTAATGGTAGTAAAAATTTCAAGCAGCATAATCTCAAGAAATCAGAAATATGGAACTAAATATATGTGGGACCTAATTTCATGATAAACACCACTAACATAAAAGAGACTCGTCCAAGACTCCAAGCAATACTTATTTAAACAATTGATGGATTCAATATGATGATACCAGACATCGAGGCATTAAAATAAATCAATTTTAAATTCAAATACAGACAAACTAACCAGAAAATAGCAAAAAGAATGAACAAACCTTACTGATCATTAATGGAATGTAGATGGTGCAGAATGAAAAATGAGTCCCCTCTTCTTTGCTATGATTCTTATTCACATGAGTGACAAAAATTCCTTTTATTATTTAAACATGAAGTGAGTTGCTACAGGAACTATGGAAGAAGTTACTTGAAGAAGAATCTGAAAATAAATACAAGAAAAAAGAAAGAGAAAGCAAGATACATGGGGGTAAATATGGAAAGTGGAAGACTAAAGAAAGTATTTATTATCCTATTAAACTCCTCAAACATGAAAAATATCAGAATCAAAAATTGTAGTTTAAATGGTTAGATTAAGAGAAATTAGGAAAGCTAGTTTTTTATTTTTTTGATAAGTCAAATTTTATAAAAGCGCTCGAAAGGGGAGCGGGTCCCAAAAGAAAAACACAAGGCCACAAAGGACCTCTAAGCCTTCAAAGAGGCCAAAAAATCGACAATCTCCTCTAAAGATCTATAATCTCTCCCTGAAACCCAACAAAAAAGAGTGGAAATAATAGAGAATTTAAGAGTAGAAATCGACATCTCCTTCCCATCAAAATATCTCCTATTTCTCTCAAGCCAAATACACCACCACACACAAATAGGAAAGCTAGTTTTACCTATAAAAATATAAACTTCCTAGCTAGTTTTACCCTCAATATTTGAAAAAAAGAACTTTAGACAATTTCACTACTGAGAAATCCAAAGGGCATTTATGAAGTGCGAACGCAGCTTCAACATACCAAGAGGGGGTCACCTTTCATAATAGTATAAATAACTGTCGAATGCACCATAAGAAATTAAAGGCTACCCATATAAATTGGAACTCAAACTGATTGTGAAAAAATTTGATCCCTCAAAGGAATTAACCAATACTTAGTCCCTTTTTCCTTTGACCTTACAGAGTAGCGTCTTACTTGCATTGCTGTTTCATTGAACAGATTAAAAACTACCTCCAGTCTCTATGTGGAAACTTCTTCATTCACATCCTTAAAACTAGAACTCAGTTGAGATGCAAAGTACTCTGAGTTTGTGATTAAGGTTTGAGAGGAGAAGAAAACAGATAATTTCAGCCGAATGAGATAGAGCGTTATTTCATTTTCTCAACTCTTGACTATTTATATTATTAGAAAACAAGTAACAAAAGTACCATGATTAGAACGTTTGTGTCCAACTCAAACATGTTCTCACATATTCCAACCCCCCCCCCCCCCCCCCCCCCCCCCCCGCGGCCAAGTTGGTGCATAAAATTTCTGATACCCAACTTGCATACAATAAAACGAAAGGGACCTACAACTAAGAACTTCGATAAGTTCCCTCCTAAGAAGGTGCAATAGCCTGAGGTAGATCTTATATTAAAATGTGAACATGCCCAGTTTGCCTATGTAAAGGCCTCAAGTTCCGAATGACCTGATTGGAGAATAACATTCCTTCTTTGGGAGAAGATTTCAGATATCGCAAAATGCAGCAAACTGATTCTAAATGTAAGGAACTAGAATTGTGTATAACCTATAAACTGACTCGTCACACCAACTGCATTGGCTATGTCTAGTTGAGTAGACGGAAAGTTATATGTGTCTGCCAACAACTGTTTGATATTTCCCCTTGTCAACTTGGTCACTTTCATCAATTCTAAGACAATGATAGGACATAAAACCCTGCAATCCTTTGAATCTTGACTCCTCTGTGTTGGATCGAAGCAAGAAACAGCCACAAAATCCCCGAACAGGCAGACAATAACAAATATAAAAAATAAATCCTAGCCAAATAAAAACTTGAAAATCCCTAACAAATGACTTCAAAAAGTTCTAAAAAAATTTACCATGATATGATGATACTGAGGAGGAAGAGGAGATCAAGATGGTATGATTTTCAAACCCTTGTGACCATACAGTACTAATGTCAGCATATATGGAGGCTAACATTAACATACCCTAGACATTTTTCTTTGATTTGAATGTTGTGATGTCCTCCAAAAGTTTTACTTATCAAAAAAGTAAAAATAAAATAGTTATCCAAAGATAAAATCTTATACCGAGTAATTGGATTGCAACGATCAACAGGATGTATTGCTTTGGAGATTTATCAACTTCTTTTCTTTGAGTAATTTTGACATGCCAGTTAAGATTAGTTGAATCTCCTGATCAGACCTGTGACCTTGACAAATAAGTGTTTTTTTATTATTCTTTTTTTAATTTTATTTTTTTTAATTTTTTTATTTTTTCACTAGCTAGTTTACAGTTATTTTGATCGTCTTTACTTCTGAAATTTTGCTGTGTTTCATGGACTTAAACCTTACGCCAATAAATCCGCATATAAAAGTGAATAGTTTTTATTGAGTTGAGTAGATCTTTAATGCTTAAGCGGGTGGTTTCTTGGAATTAAAAACCTCTTTCCTATTTTAAGATCTACTTTACTTACATAACTTTATTCTGTTACTTATTACTATTTAGTATTTTGTTTGACCAATAAACAGTTTCCCTCGACTATAAGAGTAATTTAGTTGTATTGTTTCTTGTTATTTTTTATTTTACGATATGTAATTTTTAAGATTAACACCTCATTTAACACTTATTTGTCCATCGTAATTAACACAATATGTCATTCGAGATGCATGTTATTCACTTAGTTGTATTAATTTTATATGCTCCCACTTCAATCATAGATAGATTTTGGCCAGAATTTTGGAATCACTAACCCTGTTGATCCCTCTTTCTTAATCTCGACCCCTGCCAACTGAGGCCATTAAAGCCAGCCCTTGACCGTAAATCAATAGGTTATCAGTTAGTACTTACCGTTTAAGGAAATTTTTTATTCAGTCAATATTAAATTTTTTACACTTCAAATTTTACCAACTCATCCACTATACTCATTCATACGAAAACCATTCGCATCAAATTGTTAGGACTGATATAGGTTAAGGATAACCAAACGGAAAATAAAATACAAGGTAAGCTAAAAGCAAGCATATAATGTGTGCCATAATTCTAGCAATAAAAACATGAAGTCCAAAAATCTCCAATAAAAAATTGGAAAGCACTGTAGAAGTGTTATTTATTTGTATTGCAATTCCAAATTAAAATACAAAAATGGAATAAAACAATGAAGTTCATGGTCGCTCATGGAGAAACCTTATCTACGTCCATGGAGGCTCACTAAAATTCCAATACTGTTTCAGTGAAGTTCATGAAAATCTTGTCAGCTTTCAGTAAAATAGTTTGAATGCATGGACCTCATTAGGAACCATATTAGCTTATCATGGAACGCAATTTAAATGTTACACTATTCACGAAATCACACTAGACCTTCTCTAACATTAGTTGAAGCTTTCAAACGTTAATTGACACTCATCAGAAGCCACGTAATACAAAAGTACATTATCAAGTAATGCAGAAACTTTAGTAGCTTAGTATAATATTATATATGGCATGCAAAATATAATACAAGTTTCTGATAATAATGACAAGCTATCTCAGTCACCTGTCACTTTCAACTCCTCCTCCCTTCTCCCAAAACTGAACTAATTTAACCAAACCATAAACTTTCTATTGTAAGAATGATATCTCAAATATTGAATGTGCAGCTGCCAGCTGCTAAATCAGATCAACTCGAAAGAGAGAAATATTTTAAGCCTGATTATACTGTCCTTTTCTAATATCTTCGGAATGATACAAGATTTAACCTAGATGTATAAGGCAAATAAAAGATGGAAGAATTGATCTCAAAATTTCAATCAAAGGTTATAATGGGGATTAAAATCAAATAGATTGAAGAAGGTAAGAGGCTTCACTCAATATTTTCCAAAATTTTGCTCTCTTAAGCTTATATTCTTTATTCTAACCTAGAATTACTTCAAAGTTTAAAAACAAGAACTGTCAGCCATTCTCGCCTCTATACCATTTCAAACACTGCATTAAGAAACAAAATAGTTATGTATTGTTTTACTGGATTTGGAGATAGAGATCTCATTTATATGGTTTGTAATACTTCATTTTTGTCTGCTTTTTTTGGTAAGAACAGTTATTATAGATAAAAGTGGCTATGCAAGCAGTGAATACAAGAGCAATCACCTAATCTTCTGTGCAAGAAAAATCACCCATAACATGGAAAAATCACCTACAATCAGGCAAATATTCTGTTTCCATCCCAGATTATCCAAAATCAGTATCACCAATAAGAAGTTGCCTGTTAGGAAGGAAAAAAGACTTGACAGGCACTTTTAGCTTTCCGCGTGCCTTTTCAAGGAAACTAAGATCTTTCCCATCCAGATGCATTTTCAATAAACTGAACTAATTTTAAACCTATAACTAGATTTCACCTTTAACCGACTGCCCTGCTATCCAGGTTCAATCTCAAAGCTCCTCCCTACCTCTATTGACTAAATGCACCCTATAATATTAGTTCATAATACTTAATTATAAAGGTCAAATCGCATTCAGATTTGATTTTTAGTAACTAACAATTAATATACAAATTCACCATTTTATTTTACTCCAATCATTTTCAAATTTAATAATCATATCATATATGATACACGCCATAAACCAACAAGCTAATATCATCCACACGTGATCTTTATTATGTACTTGCCTCGTGATTTTGTTTACCATACAAAATCATGTTCACTTGTTAAATAGTAAGCATTAAATACAATTTAGTAAGTAATATTACAAGGCAAAAGATCCATATATTCCTAGCTCAACTTCTACTTCAGAAATTAAGATGCCAAGCAAGAAGGCGGGAGTTGTACCAATATGGAAGTTGTTAAAGAATATGATTATAGGAGCTATTTAAGCCCTTGACAAAATATTGACCGGAGAAATTCATGGGAGTGATTTTAGGGATTCTCCATCAATATATTTCTCATGTTTATAACACGTTTGTATTCTTTCACCTATAAAAAGAGGTGGTCATCTTAAACAAAATTAAGAGAGAACATAACGAAAGAGAAGTAGCCCTTCTGGGTATTGTGCGCTGTGGATGTAAGCTGTATTGGCCGAACCAAGTTATATTCTTGTGTTCTTCATGTTCAATTTCTCTCTTCCATTTTATTTTTTCTTAACGTGGTATCAGATCATCCAATTGGGAGCTAACAAACGGTACCTGCACCATTCCACTCCGTTATATGATCTATTTCGGTTCTCGTCTCGCTTGAGTTTTGTGATCAGATCTCCTCGTCTCGGATATCTCGCTCAAATTTTGTGACTTTGGTGACCATATCAGTCAGGGAAAGCCTCTACACCAAATCTCATCATCTATTGTTGTCATCTCGTTATCGCTGCAGAGTTATTTTTGTTATGCTTAAACACATATTGTTGGTGATATACCACATTTTTTTATCAAGTGTTAGGGATCATGTTCTTCACGGTTTGTGACCCTACTTATAGTTCATTCAACAACAATTTGTCTTGACAACTTCGTATTTAATTTCAAGTTGGACACTTGCGTTCAAATCTCCGTCTACCAACTTGAGGGGGAGTGTTATAGAATATCATAATAGGAGCTATTCAAATCCTTGACAAAATATTGATAGGAGTGATTCATGAGAGTGATTTTAGGAATCCTCCATCAGTATATTGCTAATATTAATCACATTATTGAATTAATGAATTCTTTCACTTATAAATAGAGGTGGCCATTGTAAACAAAATTAAGAGAATATAATGAGAGAGAAGTAGTTGTTTGGACTTTGTGTGCCATGGATGTAGGCCGTAGTGGCCGAACCACATTATATTCTTGTGTTGTTCATGTTCACTCTCTCTCTCTTCGATTTTATTTTGATTGACAATTTGATCAAGAGGAGGAAAGCCGAACAAGTCTAGATCATACAACCGAGACAAATGGTGCAAGTATTGTTTGTTAGGTCCCAATCGGATGCTCTAATACCATGTGTCAGAAAAATAAAACAAAAGAGAGAAATTGAACATGAACAACACAAGAATGTAAGGTGGTTCGGCCACTACATCCTATATTCATAGCACACGAAGCCCTAAGTGTTACTTCTCTTTCATTATATTCTCACTTGATTTTGTTTACAATGACCACCTCTATTTATAGGTTAAAGAATAAAAACATGTGATACATATGAGAAATATATTGACAGAGGATTCCTAAAATCACTCGCATGAATCACTCCTATCAATAGTCCATCAAGGGCTTAAATAACTCTTATAATAATATTCTCTAACAGAAGTGATTCGATGATATTGCTTCTAATGCAACACCCATTAATAGTCAACTATATTTCATCCTTTATAGGATTATCAGGTTTAGGATCCATTTGGGTTGAATGATTTGAAATGAATGGGTTTAGATCGAATTAATTAAGGAGCATAACATAAATTTAGATTTAGTTTTAAGTTTTAACAATACGCATATATTGATTTGAGGACTTTGATGTATATATCTTTCAAAATACCAAGGTGTAAGGAGTTACTTAAAACCTATATAGGTACCTAATCTGACATTTCCTTGGACTTCCAAATCCAACTTCATCCTTCCATTTCAAATCCATTAATTTATCCAAATGTAGCATTAGTTTCGAATTGAATTTTAGATATAAAGTTAGTCGTCAAATGCAATTAAATGTCAGTAATAGATGGTACTTCTTGCCAATATTGACTTAAACCCAATATAGAATTCAATACCAATAGCATATCCTGCATGTGTTTATGTATCTATGCCAACAAGAAGTGTTTTGGTGTCCAAAAGAATCATCAAAAGTGTCACAGTAGTACATGGTGGTGGTCTATTGGTTAGTGTCGTAGATAGTCTTTGTCGGGACTTGGGCAGAAACGGTGACAAGGCGATTTTGGATTGGACAGTCCGCCCCCAACCCAACCATAAAGAATTGCATGCTCCAAACCTGTCACTGAAACACAAAGTTGATAGATGGATCCCCCAAATGAAGTAATAGGTCTTTCTAATGAAACTGAGCTTTAGTTCCTTATCAGAACTTCATTGACAACGAAAATCTTTTATAAGCGGCATCTCCACTAGAAATTTAATCAGGGTCCAGTTTCCACTATAATAATAAGTCCCAAAAAGACTAAAAAATATTCTGATAAACCAATCTAGTGTAATCAAAAGCCAAACCTATCAAGGATCGAATTTGGGAGGCAATTCGTGTTCCAATGTCATATTCGTGTTGTTTCATGACATGAGTATCCTGTTATATGGGTCGACATCCAGGAAACGATTATTATACACAAACACAACACGATTATTAGATAAGTAACACGACACAACCCACGTAACTAGGTTAGTGAATGAGTCGAGACCTGTCATACTGGGTCACGCGATATGACAAGACACATTTACTTAAATTCCATACCATTAGGGTCATTTGTAACACGAAGATGACATGTTAAGTTAAACATCTCTAATTTTGTTATAAACGAGTTGGCAGGTCAAACACTAACATGACACGTTCAATTCGTGTGTCAATTCAGGTTGACATTTTACGACTCGAACATGATTAAGTCAAACCCAAACCCCCTTATCCCGTGTCGTGTTAGCATGTCGTGTCAAGTATCGCTACCCCTAATCCCAATGTAGGATGTTAATACTAATATTATCCCCTTCCCCTTCCCCATCCCCACTCCAGTTATGGATATACCATACATCCTGGGCTGATGAGGCTGATCAAATTACCTGAGAAACCCAGCCACTGCCATCCCTAAGAAAACACCTTACCCATGCTCTCCCAACTTTATAGGAGCAAGGGTCAAGGAAGAACTGATCCCAAACTGCCAATTCAAGAAAACTGGCATAAGGGAAGCACCTGTGGGAAAAAATGAGTTACCAAGCTTCACCTTGTAGGCTCATACCCAGAGGAAAAGTATCAAGTAAATACTCATTATACTCTTTGCTCCATAGTCCATACTAAAGGGGAGAGGAAACTTACAAAGAAAAAAGGTAATTCTTGTAAAAGACTAGCTCTAGATAGGAAGATAACTGAAACGTCCAGCTAGATTAAAATTACTAGATTTTACCAATGGCCAGTGGCCTAGCTGTATCAGGCCCTTACTTCCTAAAGGGAGGTCAAGGGTTCAAGCCTCAGTGGGGGCTTGTGTGTGTGAGTACCAACTAAATAAAAAAAATACTAGATTTTCTAATACTTATCACAATAGCAAACATTCACTTCCAAAAACTCACTGATATTGTTCCACCTTAACCAAATTTTTAAGCATGAAACATTCTCAGATTGGACAGTGGGAGAAGAAGAATGACATATAAGGTATTTAAAACCATTATGTCATGAACAAAACATGCACGATGAGCAGACAAGAACAAAACTAGAGTTGTTAGGGAAAATGTAGTATATCATGCTTTATCTGAATACAGGTATTTGTAATAGATTAGAATGCTTAACCAGGAGATCTTTATCAACTGCCAATGAGTAGGATAAATATAAAAAAAAACATTGACAAGTTACCAGAACATGATCGCAGATAACTCTGACAATTACCTGTCATCACTCCAATCGGACTGAATCCTTTGGAAACGGTCAAAAACAGGTAGTAAATCCTTTCGCCTTATTTCAACCTTGTGAACAGGAATCTTTTCAACTTGAATCTCTCCACTAGTATAATCTTTACTGAGATTCAGCTTCTCATCCCCCAGCGGACTCATAGTAAAGAAATATATCTAAAATAGAGGTGGAAGGATCATAAGCACACTTAAGATTTACTCATAGAGGAGGATCTGAAAATTATAACTTTTATTAATCTTTTTTATAAGTACAATTAGAGCTATAACTATACCTTTGGATTTTGCCAAATGGGTATCCTCCCGGTCTGCACCTGCACTTCTGCATTGGAGAGATACCAATGGGATCGTTCATGTAGCTTTCCCGGACCCTTTCCCCCAATATCATTATCTTCACAATCAGAAGTATCCATGACCATCTCTGCAGCTTCTTGTCTGCCACTAATCCCATGAATGCACTCCTCTCTTTCTGGCCAATCTGCTCTGCGGCAGACATCCCACCACTGAACAGGTTCACCTTTCACCCGTAATTCCTCCTCTTGCATTTGCACCAATGAACCTGTCCCACTTCTCAATACAGATTCACCTTGTTCTCCCACCATTGAAGGGAGAAGTTCATATTGAATTACATTTCCAGGATGAGCATAAACTAATAGGTGCTCCAAACAATTTACATTTGAAAGAGTGGGTTGTAAATCATGATGTACAGAGCTGTGAAAAACTGCAGCAACAGCAGCAGATGGTACAGAGACCTTTCCTGCTGCAGAAGATGCAGCATTACTTACAGTATTAAGCCACCCAGAATTACCAGTTCTTATCCTGCTGACCACACCGAGAGTGATAGGTTGTGGTGATGGAGGAGACGATTGCTGGTCTACCATAAGAGAAGAAGTAGACCACCATGGTAGGGATAGAACAGGTACAAGAGTTGGCCCATCAACATGAGAATTTTGTATTTGAAGGCCAGCCTCACCACCAAAGGGTGATAGAACAAATATATGGCAGGTTCCCCTGGATGAAACAATAGTAATCCATTGACTATAATGACTAAAACAAATGTCTTGTATTACCTGTTACAAAAACAGAACACAGTTAAAAGTAATAAAAATAATAAGTACCAGCCACTACATTAAGAAAAAAAAAAAGATAACACAAATTTTAAAAATGAATAAGAAAAGAATATCCAGAAAAGAGTTATATGAAAACAATAAGAGCATGCCAAGGTCTAGCCAAGTGGTATTTTGTCCTCCTCCCACATAGGAGGCTGAGGGTTCAAGTTCCCCATCTGAGTAATAGGGTGTGTGTGAGTTCGCTGGGTGTTTGTCAAAAAGCATAAAAAGGAGGAGGGGGGGGGGGGGGGAGAACAGTAAGAGCAGGAACTTACAGCTGAAGTCATGCCACGATGGAGCTTGTAAAGGTGCACATGAGCAGAACTCCAATCATAGCTTTGAGTTCCAGATCCATTTTGCGAGAAGCAAGGCATGATCCGAAAGATATTTATATTGTTCCCATGTATAGAGGCAGTAACCAGAAGAGTCCCACTTGGGTCAAAACAAAGAGCAGATATCGGACTAGTATGAGCCCTAAATTGTGATACAACAGCTCTAGATACAAAATCTTTAATAACAACCTGCAATAAAAATTAATAAGGATATTCTTATGATTGCTTTAATAAGTCTAGTTGTTGGGAGGAGCACAAACCACATCATTAGAATGTAAAATATATCTAGTATTTTGTAAATTTCGTAACAAGAGCAGCTTTCATAGCCGACCCCAAGAAAAAGGCTTGGTTGTTGTTGTATAACATTTGATTATTTAAAAATATCATTTATATATCAAAAAATGAATATTGATTTCTTTTTCCTTCATAAACATCAAGTGCAACAAGCATCAGATTTTAGGCAAGATTTTAACAATTAAGGTTGCAAACTGCGCAAACAACTAACCATCCCAGCAATATCTGCGTCGGATGAGTGTGCTGCCATCCTACCAACTTTCCAGCTGGAATTTGTTGAGCCAGGAGAACTAGAACCATCAGGAAAAAGCTCATGACAGTATTTAGAGAAAGTTTTGTAGCCCATATCACCCAGATTAATTATTCCGGTAGCTAACTGCTTACTTGATTCCATGGCATACCGAGCCATCAGACTTCCATTACTAGGTGACGTAGAAGGGCTAATGCCTGGAGAAGGACTAAGGCTTTGGGGACTAAGGCGTCCTGTGTTCAATGACAATGGGTTGTTTGTAGCATAAGCTAACCACCTGGGTCCCACAGCCATTGGACCATAGCCAACGTTAACTCCAACCATTCCAGGGCCACCCAACTGAGGAACGGGATATGTAAGAACACTGAATTTATTCTCAAGCGTGAGTGCATCAAAGCAGTATATCTGCAAGAAAAACATCAAACTAAATTAGGCAGATTTAAATTGTTTGGCACCAATTGTAAATTTAATCAAAATCAAATGAACTTTCTTCTTGTTTAACAAAAAAAATAAAATTGAACTTTCTTCTTACGCAACAAAACCTTCCTTGGTAAACAATTTTTGTTTAACTATCAGCGTTCTTGTAACTATCCTGTCTCATTTCACCAGTCTGTTAAAGGACCTTGACGAACAATTTCTTGAAATATCCATGATCCGTCAGATGGTAATATCTTTTGGTCTTTCCTAATTTTGTCCAGACCAGAATATTTCCAGGTAAGATTCTTTATTATATGGTCCCAAACGCAAATTTAGGAGCACCATAGATCATCATCATTGGTAGGATATATCTATAGTAAAAATAGGCTTTTCACATGTATCACTTAAATTCGCAACTAAAACTATAACATGAAATTAGAGAATAACTAACACAGGCAGATTCTTACTTGTGCTGCGAGACCCACAGCCAATATCCGTGGACTGCACCTGACCATATAAACAGTTGATCGGAATCTCAGAACATGAACATAATTGTGGGACCTTAATGAGTAAAACCGAACAGCTGTAGGCGAGTTCAGAAAGTTTCCTGTTTGAGATTCAATATAACCATCTCTCCCATTCTGCATTGGAACTGAGCCTCTTGTTTCATCACTTGCAACAACCAAGAGCAAGGGATGTGATTTTCTGAATCCTTCATGTCCTTCAATTTTTGAAGGAATGGGCTGCATTTGTAAAAATGTGACTGGACCATCACGCCTTGACACCAGTTCACTCACACTGGAAGCATCTTCTACATCAAGGACTTGAAAGCCATTGGAGTAACCAAGTAACAGAACACGCTTGGAGCAAAACGGGCCAAGTTCTAATCTGTCAAAGCAAGCCCATAGAACCTGTCCGGCCAAAATAATTAAGAGCATGCTGGTGAATATGATGTAATAGACGACAGATAGTGTGTATGCAGAAAGCAGGAGAACTGGAATTCATCAAAACATAATGCAATAGAAAAATTTATAGGGTGCTCTAACTTGTTGTGATGCAGTCACATCATTCTTAGGCATGATATTTGCTATTTTCAGGCGTATATAAAATGTTCCACACCCAGCCCAAATCATTTTGAGGTCTTACTTCTATGTTTTATTTGTTTGATTTGTCTACAGGGGTCTAGAGTGTCATAACTTGGGTCTTTACATTTTTAGTTCACCTGCCAGTCGAGTTAGTCTTTCCACAAATGAAATTACTAACAAAAAACCTCAAGAGAGACTCTTGGAAAGATGGTGTCCAACACAACAAGAGGGTATGAACAAATCCAAACACAACTTGAGCATTTCACCAAATGATTAGTGATTGAAATTTAGTTCACCTCCACAAAACCAAATTAGAAAATAATAGTAGACATAAGGAGCTGGTCCAAGAGAGTGACTTTGAAGAAGTTACTCAAAGTCACTCTAAAGTATAGAGCGTAGGAAATGGAAAATAGATTTTAGGCCTCCTAGACCTCTTGACAAAAAATGACCCCAGGGCATTGATGCTGAAAAGATGAGCTTAAGAATCATGGGTCACCTACAACGTAAGGAGTATTATACAGGTTAAATTGGGTCAATGGTATAGAGCAGTTCTTTGAGTGGAAGGAGAATGCCGAATGCCCAATACTAAGAAGTTAAATTTGGCATAGCCTCTTATGTACCAAGTTTTCACCTTCCTTTCCATGCTCTCAACCCCCAAAGTGAAATTCTACTGTAATCTGGCACATGAGTTCATTTAGGACAGCTCATGCTCTCAAAACTAAGACAAGAATATCTGACATGCACATTCTGCTGGCTTATAGTGGTAAATATGAATCTAAAGAGTTTTGTAACTACTTGAAAAAAAAAAAAAAAAAAAAAAAGAATAAAAAAAAAACAAAAAATCCATTTTTGTGAGTTAACTGAATCCATTTGCGGCAACCCAAAAATCTTTGGCAACATCATTCTCCTCTTGCACACTAGCCTTTAACTGCTTTTTGAATATTAGAACTTCCACATCTATCAATTACACGTGATATTTTCCTAATTCAATGTTACATGACACCAGAATTTGTGCAATATCCAACTTGGAAATGGCAGGAGTTAATGGGTACAGCACATATCCAACAAGCTTGTTGTTGGACAAAAAAGACAGTTGGAAACCTCAAAAGAAGGAAAACGTAATATTCTACTTCTCATTCACTAGAAGTTCCTAAAGCACTTTCTTAAATTCTCCTTAGTGATGTAGTATTACATGATCAGTTCAGAACTCTTTCCAGGCATCATGTAACATAAACATGTAGTTTTACCCTTTAGTAAAAAGAATTCTCAAGACAATTCAACTATGCAACCCTGTTCATGCATTATGATTTGATTATAAATTTGAATCCAATTATCAGGTAAAACACCCATACCCATATGAACACCAAGTCCAAACTCCAACCATCTTTTCTTACCTTAAGAACATGCAAAATAACTCACATGTCCATGGATATTAACATTTGCTCCTCAAACTGATACTAGGCTACTAGCATCTCATGAGCAAAATGCTTCAAAATATTCAACCTCTAAATCTATTATTCCATGTGTTTTAACAACCAAGTAGGCGTACTATTTTCTCGGGTGACAAGAAACAAAATTTAAAAGAATCATTCATTTTCATTAATGAGAACCGTGCTAATAATGTCTTCTAAATTTATCATGAGTTAACTGATTCCCTTCCAAATAAAATATCAATTAGGAAACTGCCATATATGAAACAAATTCAATTGCCCCATTTGATGGCAAAGAAAACTTCAATAGAGTCGAATCATTTTTAAAATAAAAAAAAATAAAAAAATTAACTTTTTTAACCCCAATTTAACAATTTAGCTTACTTGAACTACAATTTCAATAGTCAGAAACTAAAATAAAAGTTCCACTTTCTCTTCTCAGCTCTATCAGCATCCAAACACAAATTCAAATCATTTCCTCGAAACAATTCAAGAGATCAAAAGTTTCAAGTTTCAACTATTAAATCAAAATAGCAAGCAATGGAATAATTAACTAGTGGAACAACTAAATCAGATAAATTGATCAACGATCATCGATCAAGACCTGGTCTTTGCGGTGCTCATCGGAATCTCCGGATATCGAACCGGCAATGGAAGCTCCCGCGGAGCGCACGTTCGAAGACACGGTCCTGATGCAAGACGAGATGATCCTGAAAGAACTAGGAAGGAAGCCATTGCTGCTGCTGCTCTTGGACTTGTTGTTATAGCTGTTTAGGTTTTTCTTCATAATCGGTTACCGAAATGAAATGTTATAGCTCTATCATATATGGAATCACTGCACCACCGCCGTCACCGTCGCCGTCACCTACCGCCGCCGAACGCCGACGAAAACTGACGATCAGATTGAGCATTAAAAAAAAAGATGCGCCGGAATCTGACACGCGCAGAGATAACACCGGCGAGGATTTGGTGTCGTTGTTGTTTGTTGTTGATTTGACCTTAAATGAGACGGTTCCTTTCTCTCCTCAATCTCTCTCTTCGTTTTAAACTCTTCTTCTTAAGTGTGCTGTAACCAAATTTTTGTTAATATCAGAAACCACCTATCATTTCGTTTACAATGTCATTGACCTCCCTCAACATTTGATCAAAAAATGAAAAAGTATGAAAATGAAAATGAAATGAAAACAGATTTTTTATATAAAAGAAGGTAAAGTGCAAAAAAAAACTCCTAAATTATTGCACTTTTGCAAATAACCTCCTGAACTAAAAACTTTCTCATGAACTATTAATTTATTACAATTAAAGTCAAACCCATCACAAAATACTATTTTACTCTTTCTCAATAAAATTTTCATTTCTTATTAAATTATTTTTATTATCTTTTCTCTTATGTAAATATTAATTATACTATTTACCATAATTTTATTATAGCATCAATTTATCATAAAAATGAAAAAAAAAAAAAAAAGATAAATAAATTTGTAGCTACCACTTTCTAAATTGATTAACTTATTATTAAAATTTATTATTTGTAATAAAACTTATTATAACCAATTTAAACAGTTTTATCGTAAAAAAAAAAATATATCTTCTTTTTCATACAAAAAAAAAAAAAAAAACCTTTTTTCATGTAATATATTCATTAAAAATTTAAAAATTAATTATTTTTTTTAAAATTTTCTACCAAATATTTTTATTTAAAAAATTAAAGGTTAAGTTATGTAAATTTAATGGAGAATATGTCATCAAATTAGTATAATTTTTTTCATAATTTAATTAGATAAGAAAAATATGTTAAATGTAATTCAATAAGAAGGGACATTATGGTCATTTAATGAAATATAGTATAAGTATTGGGGTATGTTGCAACAAAATGTGATAGTTTAGGGGATTTTATGCACAAAATATAGTTCAAAAGGTTATTTGCAAATTCAAACATAGTTCAGGGGTTTTTTTGCACTTTACCCTATAAAAGAATAAAAAATAAAAAGGAAAAAACAATAATGAGTAAGCAAAAAAGAAGAAGAATAGGAAAAATGAAGATAAAATTAGGACTGAGATTGAGTGACTATAATGTTTTATGCAAACAACATTTTGATTAATTTTTTATTTAAATTCACACAAATCAAATAATAAAATAATATATGTACATATAACAATATATTACATTAGGTCGGATCAATAGATTATACAATAAAAAATTTCAATTCATATTTAGTTTATTAAATCAGATTAAATTATATCCATTAACATTTCTAATGTATCACTTTTCACATAATTTTTTTTTATTTTTTTATTTTTTTGAGTAATGATCTTTTCATTTTCTAGGCATCGTGACGTTTTCAATTTTCCTTGTAAATATCATTAGAGAATCATTACAATCTATATTTTTCAATAATGCCGTAAAGAAGTCGTATGAAGTCACCCCTTAAATGTGTTCATATGAAACTCATATAAAGCCATCTCATCTATTTTTCACTTATCCACTTTATTTGGTTGAAATTTCAACATCTTTTAGTAGCACGAAATATCATTGAATTGGTGTATTTTTTCAAAAACTAATGTTGACATAATTAATGTCCTCAAGAAAATTCTAGAAGCATTCATAAGCCGGCTCTTGAAATTTTGAGTTAAATCATGGTCAACCATCAATTATTCAAATTAAGGATTGTGGGGTTATGCCGACATAATGTATTTATGGTGCAAGGAGGTTTTAGTGACAGTTGAAATATCAGGGGAAGTTATTGTAATTGAACCAAAAATGTGTGGAGAGAAACAGAAAATTGAGAAAATAGGTTCAACTTTTGACGGCATGGGATGGAAGTGATGAGAATATCTTCAAAGAGATGCCGAAGCAAGAGACGAAATTCGCGGCAAGTTATATAGATATAGACACAGGGAGCTGTCATCACCACTCAGTTTTATACACATTCATTTCACGCGTCTTGCACGTGCTTCTAATTGCTCATCCACTGAGACATTGACACGTCAGCTTATAAAACAAAAAAAAAAAAATAAGTTGGCTCATTTAATAAAGAGAGAATTACAAGTACATGAACTTATTTATAAGAATAAACATTATTCAAAGTTTAATGATATACTATTTTGTACAGTATTTATTTATTAATAAGTACTGACATTGAGGTGAGTTTCAAGGTAGCACTCACTTACAATTAATTGCTACGACTGTCACTAACAATGGTTATATATATATATATATTATAATTTTGTTTGAAACAATTTGCAAATTGCCCAAATCAAAACTGTGAACTTAAAAATAAATAAATAACTATAAAAATAAAAACGATTGTTTACGAGATGGACGGGCATAATCCACCTGATTTGGGTAATCTCGTTGAAAAATATTCTTTAAGGCAAAGTGTTGAACATAATTTCTTCATCCAAAATATTTAATTGGTCATATAGGCAGAATATAAATTAGTTTCTTATATTTAATGTATAGGATAAGTGAAGAAAATATTCCTAAAAGTATAATCCGTATAATACTTTTATCTTTATTTTAAAAAGTGTATAAAAAATATCCATAATCTTTTCATATTGTGCAAAAATACCCTATTTGGCATAAATTAATGTTGTAATAACCGTTTTGCCTTTTTACCCTTCCAAAAATGCCTAAGGGAGTATATATGTTACTAATATCATAGTATAGAGATATTATGTGCATATTACCTTATATATATATTTAAAAAAAAAAAAAATTTCTCTCTATATATATATCTCTAAATATTTTTTAAAAAAACTTTGAGAATTTATAAAATAAGGATTTGAATTTTTTGAGATCCCTTTGAATTTACAAAGAGTGTTTTACTAAATAAAGATTTTGAATCTTTGATTGAAAAAACTAGTTTTTTTTTTTCTTTTCTTTTTTTTTTCGTACCAACACTGTTAAACAAAAAAATAATTAAAAAATATATATATTTCCCAATATCAGTGTGCACTGGTTTTTGTAGTTTGGAAAAATTTTGTTTTTTTTAGTTTGCACTTTATTTTTGTTTTTTATTTTTTATTTTTTATTTTTATCTTTACTTTTATTTCTATTTTATATTTATATCTTTACTTGTCCATTGCCGGCGTACTCCAATAATGTCATTTTCGATCGTTTTATAAAATTATTTATTTTTATATATTTTATAAAATGATTCAGTAAAGATAATTTAGTGAACTTATTTTTTGATAAATAAGATCTTATTAAAAACGCTCAAAAGGAGAGCGGAACGCAAGGAAACACAAGGGCCACAAGGCGCCTTAAACCTTCAAAGAAGTTAAAAATACAATAATCTCCTCAATAGATCTATAATCTCTCCTTGAAATCCAACAAAAAAGAGTGAAAATTTGTCAACTTAAGATTTAAATTTGTCAGAATGACTTATTTGCACCAGATTGAAACTTCACGAGTGTTTTTTGCACTAGAGGGGCATCATTCAATAATGTCATTTTCGATCATTTTACAAAATTATTTATTTTTATATATTTATAAAATGGTTATGGGTAATTTAGTCAACTTAAGATTTAAATTTGTCAAAGGACCTATTTGCACTAAATTAAAATTTTATGAGTGTTTTTGGCACGCGAAGAGTGTGATATGTACCCGAATATACTTTATGAGTGTTTTATATACTTGACCCTTTTATTAATGTATCCATCAATTCTGTGGGGTCCAAGTAGTATGCTAATTTTTGTTTCTGTGCCACCCATATATGTTGGTTTTTCAAAGAAAAATAATAAATGTAACTTACCTCTTTATAAATTCACCGATTTTTTTCTTACATTAAATGACATAAACATCATTTATATTTGATTCTCACTCATGGAATCAAGGATAATAATGTCATTTCATATTAAACGTAGAGGTCATTTAACACCTCCCTTTTCAAAGCATAAAGACTATATATTTGTATTTATGTGGGTATGAAATCTGGTACACGATATGTGTGTATTTGGGACAAGTAACTTAGTTTGGTATTTTGTCATCCAACTGTTTGGAAAAAACCCTGACCAGAAAAAAAGGTATGGAAAGAAAGCGATGCAACCCCAAAACATGTGATCCTCTTCATATGTTGCTATTTGGTTGGGTTTTAATCCTTTTCGGGACATGGATGCTTTTGATAACTCACACAAACCCTATTATTATTATTGAAAATGCATGCAATTTAAATCTTGTTAGTGTTGGTTAACCTAATCTATACCCTCAAACAAACAATGTTACCCAAATTGTTTACCAACTTTAGGTTTCTCAATTTTCAGCCAAGTTCAGTCTTCTGTTTTTTTCTTTGAATTGATATATATATATATTTCTATATATATATATATTTTTTTTATTCAATATCAAGCAAGAGAAATGCTTGTGTGTGTGAGGCATACAATAATTCTGTCTTAGATTCGCATACAATAATTTGTCATAACTTAGTAGTAACAAATAGTCTCCATCAAACTTTGGCTCAAACGATGTGAGTTTAATTTTATTAAAAAAGAAAAAACACACATACGGTTTTAGGAGAGAGATACTATTTTACTAATCGAGCCATCAATTTCTAATATATTAATGTTTAAATATATGTGAAAAAGTAAAAAAGAAAAAGAATTTGTGGGCTAAGCTTTGGGCTGGTCACCAAGCTACTTTATTATATTAGCATTTGCTAGTAATTTCTTGCTTTTTATGAAAAAAAAAAAAAAAAAAAAAAAAAAAAAACAACACGCGCACACACAACAACAACATCATTGAGCCATATAAGTGCTCTTTTGTGTGTATCCTAGATGCTAGATTTGATAATGTGGCTGTTAAGGGGGACTCATCACTCCTGTCAAATGGCAACTGTTTGGGCCTACAATATGGGCCCCTAACTGAAATTAGGAAATGATAAATGGCCAGAAATGTTAAATCGAATAGTCTGATCGATACACGTGCATCTGTCGATGTAATGCATTGGGATCCACATAGATCTCATCATCTTGCATCCAAGAGTGGAGTGATGTTCGGCCAGATAGTTCGGCTAGGTTTATCCGGCTAAATAGCACGGTCCATGCTCATTTTCATTAGAATATCAAGTGCATAAATTGGCCTGAAATTTAAAGTTCAAATAGTACTGCATTTATATTAAGGTAAAGTGTAAAAATCCCCCATGAGGTACATTGTGTGCATCCCCCGTGTGGTAGCTATCACATTTACTTGCAAAATGCCCCAATGCCGACTATATTTTATTAAATGATCAAAAAATATTTTTCATGAATTACACTTAATCTATTTTTCTTATTGAAATAAATTATTAAAAAAAAAAAATTATAGTAATTTGATGACATTTTCTCCGTTAAATTTGCATAAGTTTAACTTTAACTTTTGAAATATATTTTAAAATAAAAATTTTAAGTAGATTATTTTAAAACAATTTATGTAATTTCTTAATTTTTCATGGATATATTGCATAATTTGTTTTTTAATTTTTTAGTTAGTTTATTACTTTTTCATGAAAAATAAGATATTTTTTTTATTATAAATAGTAAAATTTTAATAATAATTTAATCATTTTATAAAATGGTAGTTATATATATATATATATATATATATATATATATATATATATATATTAATTTTTTTAATAAATTGATACTAATAATAAAACTTAAGATAAATGGTATAATTAATACTTAGATAAGAAAAAAGATAATCATAAAAAAAGTTTAGTAAGAAATGACAAATGTAATGAGAATGGGTAAAATAGTCTTTTGTGATCGGTATGTCCTTAATTGCAACAAATCAATAGTTCAAGGGAGCAATTTGTATTTTACAAGGATTATTTGCAAAGAGGCAATAGTTTAGGGGAGTTTCTTGCACTTTACTCATTATATTCAGAACTAAACCATCAAAAGCAGGCCAAAGACCATCATTTATTGATCAGTTATACAAAATATATATATATATATATATATATATATATATATATATATATATATATATATATTGGTTGACATTAAGATCACCATCCTAAAGGGCCTCAAGCTGACACTAAAATACAACAATCTTGTATACATTTTGTCTTGCCCAAACTGTAGTTGGTACTAAATCAATAGTTCTGATATTAACCAAAAAAAAATTAGGTGCAAAATATAATAACCATTATTATCCAAAATCTGACAACATTAATGATTCTGGGAATATTGGGTTGGCACTCTGGTACATCCTACAATTGAGATCATGCAACGCTGAAAAATGACAATCCTGCAACATATCATATTGCAAGAAAATGATGGTAAGGAAATCAGACAACACTAGTTCCATATTTTGTCATCTGGATACAATTATCTTGATATTCCAAGAAACTATGCATCAACATCCTAAGTTTACAATACAGAGTTCAAATATTCCACAAAATTTGAGTTCCCTAAACATCCATAATGGATCCAGAGCTCAATATCAACAGATGTATGACAAAACCGAGGGGGCGGCACTTCATATTTCCATCTTAGGTTTCCATGGCATTATGGAAACTTCGGTTCCTGTGCACAATGCCTTGAAAACACAAATCCTGAATGTTTCATTTCCATGAACACCCCCCTGAAATTACTAGTATACAGGAACTATGTATAACTACCAACTGGCTCTCAAGAACCCAAAGCAACTTGCTTAAACCGAGTGAGATCGTTTAGGTACTTAGTTGAGTTGTATTCTTCTGCGTCGAAAAGCTCCTCTGAGTATGTTCTTTGGAGAGACCGTGGCTGACTTGCTTTTACACCCTTTGGGTTGTAATCATCACCCCTTAGAAGAACTGCAACCTGTAAACCAACAAAAAAAAAAATCGCAATTGAACCTACTATTCGGGTTTGATTTGAGCATTTATTTTAAATCTTTTGAGAAACCCCTTTTTGTAGTTGGGACAGTAAGGGCGTGCTTTAGGAACTCTCAAGGAAGAATTGCTTCAGTGCATATAATACAATGAGGTCATTGTTAATGGTATCTGTTGACACCTCCAAAGATGGAGGTGTAAGACTCAAATCCAGGTTGGGACATGGGTGCTGGTGTATTTACTAAAGAAAAATTTTTGGTCATTATGAGGAAAAGATGGAGTCCGTAGGGAAACTCAAAATATTTCTCAAAACAAATTTTCCAAAAACTCTTTTAATGCATAATGTGAAAGATTTAGGCAATCAAATAAGATCAAATCATGTAGAGAAAACCTAATTATGCATGAAAATTTTGGTGACCTAAGTCCTATTGACCTAACACCTCCCTTCCAAGTAATAAAATCTCACTCATGCAGCCTTGTTTGTTTATGCCAAAAAGATAATATTCCTCCTTAAAGAAAAATTTTTACAAACCAAACACCTTTCAAAAATTCCAGTAACCATTCTACCTTATTTCTTTCTAAATGGAAGCTTTATTGTTCAAAAATTGCTCTCCAAACTTCAAAGACTCACCCCACAGCGCCCTTTGGATTCTCGAGTCCAACATTCCCCTCTTTCCATCTTGTGTTCACACCATAAAACTTTCAATTCTCAAACACAAAGGTCCATAAATATTTTTGGATTTTCCTAAAGCGTTTGGTGCATCAACGCTATGGCATCAAATCCCCAACAAACCAACTTTCATTAGAGAGAGATAGATTTTCAACCCTCAAGATGGTGCTTGACACCTTTACCCCATGCTTACGGTTTAATTTGATGCTACTTCAATTATCCCATCTGATTTAGTCCTCTTAAAATGAAGTAATTCCTTGTTGAAATTTGCAATTCATTCCGATCTTATCTATTGGTCACAACACAATATGGAAGGACAGCTAGAGAAGTAAAGAAGTGAAAGGCTTTCTTTTCCATTGAAATGATGCCAGGCATGGCCATCCTGTATGGAAATATTGGACTGGTAAATTCAGGATTTCTCAGCAATTCATATTCCTTTCTAGTTCTTAATTACAACAGGTAATCACGATAAACTGAATGGTAAAATGGATGGAATGACCATTTAAGCAATAGAGCCAAAGAAACAGTGAGATTAAAATAACTAAAATGGTCATGGACCTTTCCTGTTTATCACAATTTGTTTGGTCCCCATGCACAAAGAGCCACCAAAAATATTGAAGCCACACCAGTGGCATCCCCATGAAAGCAGCAGGAGGTCTATCGTTGAAATACTTTTGTGAATGTGAACATAATTGAACAATAAAATTGGCAAGTAAAGGGAATTAAAAGACTCGTAGAGTTATTACTTGCCTGACTCATTCGAGGTCGTAGTACTGGAGTTTGCTCTACACACAAAGATGCAGTCAAGAGCACACGATCCATCTCTTCCGGAATGTAACTATCTTCAAGACAAGTATCTACAAGGTCCTTAACATTATTGTTATCAAGCAAAGGCTTTGCCTACAAGTAGATTTAAATGTTAGCTGAAGGATTTTAATAGGAGATCACATGCAATGGTACGACTTGATTTGCAGAAACAAAAAAATACCCAAAGCACAAGGCTTTTCTGTGTATCGTCCACGGCTTGGCGTCCTGTTATGATCTCCAAAAGTAGTACTCCAAAAGAAAACACGTCAGTTTTCTCGTCCACTATGCCATTCATGAAATACTCTGGAGCAAAATAACTGCCATTTAAGAATGAAGAAACGATTACAAAGAAGTCCCTCATTTGTTCTAAAATGAAACGTTTTTGGCTTACATACCCGAATGTGCCTTCAAATTTTGATACATTGTGGTGAGTCCATTGTTTCGGCAACCATTTTGCGAGTCCAAAATCACAAATCTGGATAAAAATTAGCTTAGTTACTGAAAGATAAATTAATAGAGTAATAAATGTATAAATTAGGCAAGTTTCATGATCATAGGGCGAATACTGTTATGATACAGAGTAGATATTGCAATAAACGGATATAGAGCAAAAATAGAAAGAAGATAATTGGCATCTTTCATTTACAATCAAATAATATATCAGAAAGTAAAATTGGAATAATTAGTGATATATTGAAAGAATAAATGTATCTGAAGTGCAATCAAATTAGTTAAATATGGATACTGCAATAAACTAAAAAAAATCCTTCAACCACTTGATGTGTTCTAAACTGTTGGGGCCTCCTCGATGTGATGTTTTAAAGGAACAACTAAAGTATATTCTTGGGCTTAAATCCCTCAAATCTCGTGCCTCAAAGCCCAAGGCTTCTGAGGCAGAAGCCTTGAGAGGGTCAACATAAATTTGAGACGTGTGCCTCATTACTAGCCAAAACTATGTTGCAATTAGTTTCGTTTGTTTATATTTTTCAATTTGTTTTGAAAATAAATCAGTAAAGTGAATTATTGATTAAACATCTATTTTCCTTTTAGACATGACAAGAAGTTTGTAATCTTGAACATTTTTTAACCTCCCAATGATAGCCTACTAGTCAAGGACTATCAACCTCAAGTTTAATCATTATGCAATTCCTAGCATTGAACCTTTTTAGTGTTTCCTTTCGGCATTGTTACTAATAGAGAGGAAATGGAAAAAGACATAAAGGTTCCATATCAAAAGTTGCAAAAACATTAAAAGTTGATCTATAAATAGTCTAACAGTTAAAATAAGGGTATTGTTTGGTACAATGGTAAAAGTACAAACTGTCTGGTACAATGGTAAAAGTTCGGACTGTTAACCATGAAAAGTGGTTCCAAACCGAGGAAGTCACTTCGTAAAAAATGATGAAAAAGATTAGGCCTGCGTAGAGTTCACCCCTTCTAGCACCCCACATAAGCATCAGTGGAAAATGATCTTATTTCATTATTAATATTTAACTTATCTATTTATAAGCTCGCGACTGTCATTAGCCAGCAAATCCAGTCATATATGAAAATTCTGCCTCCTAACTTGCATAGTAGAAGTATCATAAATATGTAGTTCTGTAAATAAACCGTACCTAATTCATTTTCCTTTGGTATTAAGAAAAACATGTATACTCCGTTTGATATGAAAACTTAGATGGAAGGACAGAAAAATTGGAAAAGGTGTACAAGGGAAAAAGAGCCTTACCGTCAAGTTGTTTCGTTGAGTAGGAAGAAAATGAGGGAAAATGAAATTGGTAATGAGTGATTTGACCTTTATAACTTTACCTATAAAACTAAGAAAATCAAACTTCGAAGGGGCAAAAAACTCGAAAGGGAAGGAAAGATACTTTCCTCTCCTTTCCTGCCTACTTTTGAATGGAAGAAAAGAAAGTGAATGGAGAAGGGAGGACTCTGTAACTTTATTCTCCATCTTTGTCTTAACAAAACATACCATTAGTTTGTTCAGCAGTAGTAAACTCTGTAACTAAGACGCTCCTTTTATAGAATTTTGTGATCTTGGACATGGCAACGCACATGCTACACTGTATGTGCTCTAAGCCTCCAAAATCTACATTATATTTCATTTTTGTCTAGAAATCATTTTGTTGGGCATCATATATCAATATCAAAATCAACAAGCATGTCATTGTCCTAGTTACCTCGTATGATCATATACACACATGTTTGGCCACAAGGTCTAAAAGGGATTTTGTTATCGATATTTCTATCATGTCTTATAAGTTTAATTGTAAATTAAACACACTATTTGGGGTCAATTTTCTCAAAAAATCCATTGATTTATCGAGTGAAAAAGTCAGCTACACTAATGTATCATAGTCACACGATTTGAAAATTTTAACGTATATGAACTTGAACCCTCTTCACTCTATACAAGATCTTGAACTTTGTAAAATATTGACACAAAAACTTGTATGCTTGTAAGGAACTTTATTTGGTTATGGAAGAAAGAAAAAAATTGAAGACCCTAAGGGCTTTGAGATCAGAAAATCTTTATGTTCCTCGTCTTCCATATTGTTGAAAAGAATACAAAGGGGAATCGCTTTCTACGCCTAATAAATTATATTCCTAACAGAACCATAATTTAGCTCTTGAAAGCTTCCAAACTGAACTTGATATAGTCCACCCCTCTTTCTAATTTTAGATGCAATGAGAAATGAGCCCCTGTTCTGCATTCCCCAAAGGCTTATAACAAGATTGTCACCATCCTACTCTTATCACCAAGCCTCCAATATAAGAGTTTATAAGGAATCAATACCCAAAACAAAAAGGTCACTGCAAATCCTAAGGTCACAAACAAGTAACCTTCCAAGGAGTGGAGTTCCAACCCCACAAACCATAGTAACACTTTGGTGAAAACCTCCCACTATAGTTCCCCATCTCTCAAGTATCCATTCTCTCCTTCCCTTGAGAGTGAAAAAACAATATAAAGATGAATCATCTATTCGTCTTACCTCCATTTTCCAATTCAGCACCACCTCAATAAAAGGGGCGTACATCACCTCCAATACAGGGTCTTTGCAGCTATATACAGTTCACAATTACATGCAGCCACCACAGCAGAATATTATAGGCACATCTATAGGCCACAAAGGTTTTTTCAGGTGAGTAACATTTCTCTCCCCTTTTGGGCTAGGCAACGAGGAGACTTGAGCCCCTGAAATTGAAGTTGACAGACCACAACTGAATACCATTTGGCCTACTGTGACTTCTTTGTAGTGATAATAAAAGACACAATAGCCCACAGTTCTTTATCCTATTTATTTAAGAATGTCATGATAACAACATTTAAAATACGTGCTGTTAGCATTATCTGTTACATACATAACTTGAAATTTTTTCTAAACTTGTAAATTAAACTAAACAAAGTAATAATTCATAAAATAAAATAATAAAAAAAAAAAAGCGCCAAGACCAAATAAGCTTGCACATTCTTTTATCGTGCTAGTCATAGGATTTGCCATTTGAAACAACTTTGTTTGAACTTTTGTTCATCATAGAGGGACTGCATAACCACACAAAACTGTCACTAAGAATAGAAACTCCCTTAACTAGCCGCTTAATATTTACCAGAAGAGTAATATTCTTTGCATTTGGGCTCTATGTTGCCTTTCTACCAATGATGAGCTGCGTCAAAGAATCATGCAATTTAAGACAGCCAAATCTGATTACCAATTTAATATCTTTGCATGCACTGGGAGTTCGTTCATGCTAAAAATGTACAGACTTTGAGTCATTGGGATTATGGTAATTTTATATTTCATTAAAACATTCACAAATTTTAAATTCTTATAATAATATTAAATATTCAATAACGAGTCATGCATTCGTATTAATATTTAATGCATGGTTTTCTCTTCTACACTTTTGGTACCTTCATAAAAATTTGAGATAATTTATATGATGTTTTAATTTGAAAGCAATAAAAATGGAACAGTTGGAAACTCAGAATATAATCAGAAGAGAGCTTCACACAAGGATTCATAAGGACTTACCAAACATAAGTAGTTGGTAGTTTAATAACAGTGGAAGCAGAAATAGATTAATAGATAGTTTATTTGATGATTAATCAGTTGGCTCAAGTCTCACCACCACAAGGGTGATGTTTCATGCATGTAAAGGTCACAACACCTTGTCTCATTGCTTTTTAGAAAATTATGTTTCAAGTAATAAACCATTGAAAACAGAAATCCTCTCAAAAAGTAATTTTCTCTTTTCACACTGGCTATCCTCAGGTTTAAAGTTGAAAGATACCTGAGGCTCAAATTTCTCTGTAAGCAGAATGTTATCAGCCTTGATATCTCTGTGAATAATTCGCCTTTGGCAATGCTCATGAAGATACAACAGACCATCAGCTATCCCTAGAATAATCTTATGCCTAACAAACCAATCTAATTTTTCCCTTGAACCTGCAATATTTGATTAAAAGAAATACATGAGAAACCCATAAAAAGAAGGCAGGGATATTGGAGAAACAAGATCAAGGGAGAGTTATGAGCAAACCACGAAGAAGTGATCCTAAACTCCCAAGTGGAGATAGCTCAAGAACAAGACAGGTTCCTCCTTCAACTCCATACCCAACCAATTTAGCAGTATTAGGATGATCGACGTGAGCTATGATGCCGATCTCGGATAAAAAGCCTATTGTCTGCTCTTCTGGTGTCCCTTTGATCAGACGCTTAATTGCTACAAGCTGCCCGTTTGGCAAACAGCCCTTGTAAACTTCAGCATAACCACCCTTTGCTAAGAAATTTTCTACAAATAAAGAAAACTTAGATTTGCATCAGAAACCAACATTTAGAATCAAAATTTTAATGACATTTTCCAAAAACCGCTGACAGGAAAAGTAAACAAAGGAACTGTCTTTCTAAGTTACTAATACTTTAGCCATAAAACTGGAAAGAATTTCAAATCAAGATGTACTTTCCAAATTGAGGATTCTAGATTCTCCGACAAATTACAGACCTTGGCTAAAATTGTTGGTTGCAGTTTGGAGGTCTGAGAGGGTGAAGACCTTCCAGGAAGACTTCAAATGAGATAAATCAGAATCTACACACTGTCTCACACTTCTGCTCTTTCTTGTTGATATCTTCGGCACAGAGAGAGGGGGGAAGGAGGGCATCCGCTTAACCGAGCTTTTCTTCCACAGTCTGAAGAATTTGCGCCATTGAGAAGGCGTCTGTGACTTTGCAGAATGGGTTGCATTGTCTGAGGTGTTTGGTTTGAGTGAATCTGATTCGGTTTCCAAGCCTCTTATGCATGCTTCTAAAACTCCCCTAGGAGAGAAACCATCTTTCTTCTCTTTTTCCATATCAAGACATCTCAGGTCTACAACAAAAAAAAATCAATGAATGATAACAGTAGAACTAACACAGATACATACACGTGAGAGTAAAGATGCACACAAGTGATTTGTAGAGGATTACACACACACACACAATAGAGAGAGAGAGAGAGAGAGAGAGAGACGGAGCATATTACCTTGAGCAGAAGCACAGGGGTAAAATGGACAACTGAGTGTTCTTAATTCTTCAGCCTTGTCTTTTGCAGTTCTCTTTGGCACTTTGATAAAATTCTTGCCAATTTTTCTGCATAAGTAATCCCAATATTAACAAAAATCCATTATCACCCAACCTTGACAAGAGAGAAATTAAGCAGGCAAATGTGCAGGGGTTTGTGTCTCTGGCAAAACGTACAGTATCTGCAATGTTATGGCAAAGGAGTGCTAAACCTACAAAACCAGGAGCTATCAAACTTTCTACATCTTCTCTGTAACTGCTAAAAAAAAGGGTAGCCCAATGCACAAAACTCTCACCTCTGCAGGGTGATCACAATGGAGCAAACTTACCCTTGCACTAAGGCCCACCCTCTCCTCTGAACCGGCTAAATAAACTAAATTTTGCAGTTCATTCAGACTCACTAGAAATGATCATATGGGAACTATTACATCGGCTCCAAAAAAAAAAATTAATAATAATAAAATGCTTCGTTATGGAAGATTTGTATCCTGAAAGCAGTCATTTTCTGCATGTAACCCCTAAGGTTAGGTCTCCAGTCCATCCCTGGGACCACAGTAGGTAATGACCCTTTTGTATAGGAACTAAAATTAAAGAATACACAGAATCAAAATTAATAAATAATACAATATTGGAAAACCCCACAAACCAAAGCTCAAATACAAGGAAAAACAGAAATAAACTTTAAAAAATAAAAAATAAATAAAATAAAATTGCCCACTGAAACCCTAAACCCTACTGAAACACTAGGTAATCTTCTCCTTGTTTTAAATAAAAATTATATTCAAATTTCACTAGTTAAAACTCATTAAGAATTAGCAGAATAATAGATAGAAAAAAAAATAAGAAGATAGAATATCACAGATAACACGGCCAAAATTTCTAAAATCTTCTCTGTTTTTGCAAAAGTAAACCCATGAATTAAAACTGAACATAAATGAATAAACAAACAAAATAATAATAATAATACTACTATATAATCTAAAATACAGGAAACATGTACTAAAACCTCTAAATCAACTGGATTTTACTTGAACATATAACATCTGCAAAACCTATTAACTAAACTAAATGAAAATGATTATAAGAATTAGATATAGAAAATAAAATTAAAAATAATACAAGAATCGGTCTTTAAAGTCTCCCTTGTTCCCAGCCCGCCCACCCACAGAAAATAAAATAAATTAAATTAAAACTATCTTACAAACATAAAGTAATAATCACCTATTGTATCAGAAGTCTCTGATGCCCTTTGCTTTCATAAACATTACAAATCAACTAGATCCATAAAATTAAAATTAAAACAATAAAAAAGAATCATATTAACCCCAACAAAAGGTCCCATTAACACATCATGATAAATTTTAAAGGAATCCTCCCTTTATTCATGGTATATAACAAATCCACAAAAACCCATTAGCTAAGACTCCATGAACTTTAGTATAAGAAAAGAACTATCACAACAAACAAAGCCCCATAAGCTGCAGCTCAAAAAATTCATAAAAAACACAAAATAAGAAGAGCATGGTAAATCATATTAAAAATCTCAAACCATGTCCTGTGACTGTATAAAAACACCAAATCCAACAAAACCCATTAAAAATTAAAATAAAATAAAATAAAATAAAAAAACCCACTTATGGAGAGTCAAGAATTCAACAAAAATCACTTAAGGCAGTATGGGTTATCTCTAAGCTCCTCTGACATTTGCCAAAATATACAAAAACCCACAAGCTAAAAATCCCAAAGACCCATTTAAAAAAAAAAAAAATGCAAAGAAGAGAAAACCCATAAGCTAAAGCTCAAAAACTACATAGAAAACACAAAATGAGAAGCGCATGCTAAATCATATTGAAAAAGCTCAAATCATTCCCCGTGACGCTAAAAACACCAAATCCAATAAACCCATTACAAAAATAATAATTAATAAATAAATAACCCACTTATAGGAGAGTCAAAAATGCAACAAAAATCACATAAGGCACCATGGGTATCCCTAAGCTCCTCTGAAATTCCACCCCCACCAACCACCACCACCCCCCCCCCCCCCCCCCCCCCCCCCAAAAAAAAAAAAAAAAGGAAGAGAAGAAGCTAGAAATCTAAGAGGCCTATTGAAAAAAAAAAATCGGAAGTTAGAGAAAACCCATTGAAGAAGAAGACACTTACCGAGGAGGAGGAGCTTCAGGGGCTGGACCAGCCATGAAGTCTGAGACCATAGAAGGCAGAGAGAGATCGAGAAATAAAAATAGAAATGACCATTATTTTATTTGGAACCATTCCTTTTCATTTTCTTTCCCTTGCTAAAACATCGGCTGATTATCCATATTGAGGTATGTAAAAAACTCACTATTTTTGGTACATTTTCATTCCTGTCCCATTCAACTTTCCATTTCTCTCTTTATATAGATGTGTGTATATAGAGAGAGAGAGTCGACTGTTTGCTCCGCTGGTGGTGACAGATGGAAAGAGTTCACTGTAAAAGCAATACCCTCTGGTTCCGAGACTTCTACTCTGTTTCTTGTAAAACCCACGGACATATATTATGTGAATATATGTAGAGAGAAAACGTGAATTTAATTTAAATCTCTTTTTTGCCCTTGTGTTTGAGATAATCTATGCTATTGCCACGACAAATTTAGATATTCAATTTTGTCCTTTCTTGATACCATTTACAGTAGTATTCACCAACACCCAACATGTTACTTTCTGTGCCATTTTAATCCTCTAATGTCAATGTAATAATATTACATCAGCATTGCATAATCGTACGTTACACATTTACATCACAAAATATAATAATTATGCAACCATGATGCAACAAAGTTATATTAAAAATACAATACTCATATAAATATTAGATTGTTAAAGAATTATTTCAAAATTAAAAAAATATCTCCAAAATCGAATGCTAGGATAATTAATCGAGGACTAATACACAAAGCTCACTTTTCATTATTCCCAAGGAGTTGTATTCCTTGATGTACACAAAACATTGATAAGCTTAAATAGTGCTAATTAAACTTATCAATGTTTTGTATATGGAGATACCTTTTCAAGTAAATGCAATTTTTTTTTTTTTTTTTTTTTTTCAACCAACATATCCCAAATACTTTTTTTTTCCTATTTTTGAATTAGGGGTATTTATGTCATTTCATTTTAAGAGTTGAGTGAAATTAGTTAGAATGGGAGTGTATATATATATATACATATTTGAGATGTAAAGTATTTTTATTCCATCTGTATCTTGCCTATGTAATTAAGAAAGTTTAGCTTTTTTCCTGTCTTGGATTAGAATAAAATTAGTAATTAAACCTTAACCCAATCTATAAAAGGTGATTTTATGTAAAAATAATAATAATAATAAATAAAAATTTGTGTTGATTTATTAGTGATCCAAAATAGATGATATTTTTGGTTTATTGATCAAATGCATTTATTTATTTATTTATTTTTCTGTTTCAAATCATGTAATCAAATAAATGAGAAATCAATCATTAAGAAATGAAAATGACCCATATCCAATTTGAGTAAAAAGTTTTTCAGTTCAATGTCAATCTAAGTCCACATCGATTTTGGGTTGATCCGAACTGAAATCTAAACAAATATATATATATATATATGAAATTTTTTTTCTTCACAGTTGAGTAAGAGACCACTACCCGAAAAAAAAAATCATCATGCATGACATTGGAGGTAAAAAATTGTCATGTAATGAATTTGTTGCTTATTGATAAGCAAGAGATTTTCCTTGTATATAAGGGATCATTTCCTTGTATAAATATATATGTAGTAATAATTTCTTATTTATTGGTAAACAAGATATTCATTAGCACCACGCATGGTAATCAGTAGATGTTAAAAATGCAATTACCAAACAATATAATAATGGGAAAACTAAATTTAGTGGCCTTAAATAACAAAATAGTCTAATTTTAAACTTCACTTTTTAATTTGATTAAATTAAACAAAATAATTACAAATATATCAACAATTATTATTAAGGTCCAAAATACTAGGGATGGCAACGGGGCGGAGTTGGGGAAATCCGTCATATTAACTTCGCTCCAACTCCGAAACGGGTTTATAATTAGTATAACATCCTCGCCCCTACTCCTGTAGACAAAATATCAACTCCGCCTCGCATACTCCATTTAATTGCGGTAAAGTTGAAACTGTTGAATTAATTCTTGGACTTGGGATAGAATACTAAGGTCTTAAATCCTTGATTAATTCTTGTGAATCACGTGCATAATTGTGGAATTTTAGTAAGTAGTGATTCCAGCTAATATTTAATCAAAATATATTAATGGACACTTAACTTAAATATATATTTTATATATATATATATATATAATCGGGGTCTGGGCGGGGGTGGGGTGAGGGCATCACTAAATCTGCCCCCACCCCAAACTCGTTTCGGATTTTCAATTCTTTTACCATATCCGCCCCAAACTCATTTATGGAGCTACCAAATCAACCCCATTGGGAGCGGAGCGGGGCGGAAACCCAGCGGGTTGGAGGAAATTGCCATCCCTACAAAATACCCTTCAAACTCTTATTCGAAAATATTAAAATATCCTTATAATTATATAATAATAATGATACTTGGTCCAATATTTTGGAGTCGATTTTGGTCCGATTCTTACTTGGCATGGACACATCATTGCTCTTACCATTTTGTTTTTTCTTTCCAAAATGACGTTTCACTCTTTGTTTAATTAAATTGCTTTCCATTCCCTCTATCTTCTTCTTCTTGTGTCTCTTTCTATCTTCATCGTCTCTCTCTCTCCCTTCTCATTCTAGGTTTTTTTCTTTACTTGATTGTTGTTATTATTGTTGTTTCTGGTTTTGATAACTTTTCTGAACAACCACGTTAATGAGGGAGCAAGCGCCATAACCGCCATGCTTAGAGGATTATTATACAGACGCTTGACTTTGTCGTCTTCCTCAGATCTTTTGTAGAGTGGCTTAAGCTTCATCTTTCTATCTACAATTATTTGCTTACCAAAAAAATTATAGAATATACTGAAAATTTTGGTCTTGGGTCAATTGATCTATATGCACACATATATAACCCGAAAAAAAAAAAAAAAAGAAAAGAAAAAGAAAACAGACCATATATAATTGAAGAAACTCAGATGACATGGCAATGCCAGTCTCAAGGAATCTAAATTTGATAAGAAAATAGTGTTATGTATCTTGAAGAGTGTTTTGTTTCTTCAATTGGGTATTTAATCAAACAATTTATTTGTATAAAACCAAACCTTCTACAATTCCTCCAGACGCACAACAAATATATACATCTTAAATTGTCTTATTTATAAACAAAGCGCCTTTCTTGCTTTAGAACAAGAAAATATTATTCTACCAATAAAAAGAGATTAAAAATTATATGTATAAACATGTATATAGTACATATACATAGGGAGAAAATACTGTGTAAAATAAATTTGGATTTATAAGATACTCTTTAATAGTTTGTCATGCTTGTTGTAATGGATCTGATTTTCTTCGGTCAAACTCCTTCCAAACATAGGATCCACCATCAAGATTCCATAATTTCTTAATTGATTTTTGGTATTTTGAAATTATATAACTCTAAAGATATTTTGGTATTTTAGAATAATAGTTTGGAGGGTGTTTTGAACCTTAATAATTATTGTTGATATATTTGTAATTATTTTGTTTAGTTCCGTCGAATTGAAAAAACAACTTTAAAATTAGACTATTTTGTTAATTAAGGCTACTTAGTCTACCTGTATATAAATTTCCCTATAATAATCACATCAAATGATTATCATGCATGGTCTGAGTGAATTTCTTGTTCATTGATAAATAAGAGATCATTTATATATATATATACATATATATATATATATGTAGTGATGGATATTTTGCTTACGGTAGTAGAGTAATAATTTATATCCACGCTATGTATAGTACCCTTTAGATATAATCCTACAGACAGTACAAACTCAATCTTTTCCTTTCCTAATTCAACAAAACCACTATTCCAACAAAACTACTATTCGATCTACCTATTCTATTTATTTAAAATTTCCTAATTTAATATTAAACAAAAAAATTTGTCTACTATCAAAACAATAAATTAGTCTTCAAGATAAGATCACATACTCAGTATAATTTTTTTTTTTTTTTAAATATGTGTATCGACCTTATAATATACGCATCATTCAAATTAGAAGTGACAGGATATTTTTATTTTGCTTTCAAGTAAATTAAAACTAATCTTACAATTCTTCGCAAGTCAAATCACATGTAGTAGTTTTGTTGGATGAAGAAAGAAGAATGGTGAATTTGTAATATGACAGTAAGATATATCTAAAGTTACTTTACACACTATAAAATTTCTTGATATGAAAAAATATTTAATCTTTACTAATCAAACCACAATCTCTCTATTATGAATCCATTACTATAAAATTTCTTGATATGAAAAAATATTTAATCTTTACTAATCAAACCACAATCTCTCTATTATGAATCCATTACTATAAAATTTCTTGATATGAAAAAATATTTAATCTTTACTAATCAAACCACACTCTCTCTATTATGAATCCATATAATATATATATATCTCCGTATATATAACGACAATTAAAAAAAAAGAAAGAAATGAAAAAATCCATTTAAAAATAACAAGAAAAGAAAAAGAAATAAAATAATCATATAATGTTATTAATGTGTGTGTGTATATATATATATATATTATAATATACATACACACACGTGTTTAGATATGTATACGGATCAACTTAAGAGGGAATAAATAATTAAAAAGATATTTTTGTCATATAAATTTATATTAGTGTATAATTTTAAAATTAATCATTAATTAAAAATGCAACTGTACCTTGTAGTGGCTCTTGCGACTGTAATTAACACACCTCTGTGTGTCTGTATATATATATATATATATGAACATGTTGATGTGACATGAAGAAATATCCAAACATAGGAAGTACTACAAATCACTTTCGAAGTGAAGAAGGCAAACATGCCTAACCAATTCCTGCATCCATACCGAACAAAAAACTATTAGTAGGGACATCCTAAACTAAGATGTGTTAAAAGAATTTAAAAAATATTTTTGTGATGTCATATTTTGCAGTCAAAACCGATATTTGCCGAGTTATAATTATATTAATTGTGAAGTTTATGAAGAACTTGTTTTGAACAACACTTGTATGGTAAGTGTTTTTTTTTTTGGAAAAATTGCTTAGGAGTTTAAAAAATTTAAATGTGAAGATTGATCATAAGAGCTCATGTTTGACAGACTTGATTTGAACTAAGTTGTGTCAAAAAAAAATAGTTAAGAAGTGTTTTTATGGAAAAATTGATAAAGTGTTTAAAACATTAAATGTGAACTTGATTTGAATAGCACTTAGTCTAGTTAGTGAGTAAATTGTGAAGACATTTTGGGCAAAATATTTTTCATTTTCAGGTAAATTATTTTTTATTTTTTTGGGTGTTTGGTAAAA